TTTAACGAGAAACTTACCAGCTTGGGTGCTTGGAGTGAAAGGACACCGTCGGAAGAAAGATTCGATTTGAGAGCGTTGACATCAACATCTTTGGGAATCCTGTATTTCCTCGTGAACTGTCTCGAGATAAAACCGTGCTCGTCCGATCGTTCTTCGTGCTTCCCATCAATGACAACCATATCGTTCTCGACTTTTACTTTAAGCTCTTCCGGCTTAAACTGCTGCACGTCCAAGTTGACTTTGAACCCATCCTTGTCAGAGACGATGGACGAAAGGCCAGAATCCCCGGCAGCAAGGTTCCTCCATGGGCGGATGTAGCCGCAGCGTAGAGGATTAGACAACAACCTGCTTGGTCTCAAGTCATCGTCGAATAGACCGAGTCCAAAATGCTGGTCTCGCAAATCGCAGACTGGCCTGCGATAATCGTCCAGCAGTTCGTTCAACAAAACTGGCAGCAATGACATCCTTCGAAAGTAAATTATTATTTTAAAAACACAAAATACTCAATAAATATCATTAATATAGTACAGAATAAAAGACTTTACAACTTACTTTGACGATTGGAAAGTTTAAGAATTGTTTCGACTTCAACAACGTTGTAAAGCTAACAAAAGCAAACTGAAAACTGATGTTGCCAGTGGGGCACCTGGCTTTTATAAAACCCCCACCAGGCCCTAGAACGTTCCCGCCCCTTCTCCCCTTTTCTAGATGTTTACTTAAGTAGATTCAACATTATCACCCCTTCTTTAAATACGGTTATAAATTATTAATTGAAAATAAATTCTCAATCCACGGATTCTGTTGTGTAATGAAATATAGAAGAAATACGTTTTACTAAAAATATAAATACTTTAGAGATACTTTACAATACACAAACAAATAATCATTATATAATACACTAGTTTTGATAAAATAGCTAGATATTTTAATGAAACAATTTTTCATGATATTAGCCTGCAAATTAATAGACACGTTTCCAGAATGTTGTTGTCAATGGGCTCTTGGAGTCGAGAAAAATTTAAACAATTCACATGTTACTACTCACTCCTCTTCATTTTGGTTGTAGTTTTGTAAAAAAAAAATTCCAAATTGAACTTATGATAAGAAAATAATATCCAAGATCGAGATGACATATACAAAAGTTACTAACGTCAAAAGATGCTTCCAGTAGAATAGGCCAAACAATTCCCATTTGTGTAAAGCTTTCAAATATGAAATTTTATCGAATAAAAACATTGACATTTTTAGACAGGTCAACTTTTTTAACCGAGATCCAGTACGATGTTGTGTCAGTATGTCAAAATTATGCTTGGCAACTAACTAAGCTGCGGATATGCTAGATGATGATTTACATAATTTGTGACCAAACAACATGATAAAGTAGTTTGTGTATATTATTTTTAAAAAGAAACAAGGTTGATTGTTGATTTTGCACACCTAAAAACCCTGGAACACTGCTCACATTAGGCCTTAAAAGATAAATTAGAACCAGATTTACAAAATAAAATGAGAATAAAGTTCAACATAGATAATCCAGTTGAGTTAGGAATTTTTATGTGGAACCAAGAGAATAGTTAAATTAATTAAAATTTGAAGTGAAAGATGAAGGAACATTACTTTTAATAATGCTTACATGTTCACCTATTCTAAAATATTTGCACACACACACACACACACACACACATACACAAAATCACATGATCAATATATCAAACTAATATCAAATTCATCTTTTGTGATTAATTTTAGGATGAAGGAAATTTTGTGAAGAAATTCAGAGGATAGTCTTATTTGGAAAATGGAAATATTAGATTTTTTTTAAAAAGAAAAGTGTTTATGTGGACATAAACATAGGAAAGTGGTAAACATTTTATTAATATTATTTTTTTACTCAGAAAAATACTGTATCAGAACTAAACATAGTAAAAATTAGCCAAAATTCCTAGTTGAGTCTGGAAGTGGGGAGGATGTTCTAGGCTGTTCTCAACGAATGTCTGCCCCACTATATAAACTCAAGCTGCCTTGGCTCCCTCATCAGTTGAAATTGAGTGAAACAAGCGAACACAACTTGGAATCTTTTGATTCGACTTTATATACAACATCAAAACAATCAAAAGTAAGTAAGAAATTAGTCATTTAAATTTTACTTTAATTAAACTGTTTTAATAAATTTTGTCTGTAGTAGAATGTCATTGCTGCCAGTTTTGTTTAACGAGCTGCTGGACGATTACCGAAGCCCTGTTTACGACCTAACTGACCAGCATTTTGGACTAGGTCTTATGGAAGAGGACCTGAGACCGTGCAGATTGCTACAGGCTCCACTAAGGTGCGGCTACATCCGACCGTGGAGGAACCTGTCGGCTGGTGATTCTGGCCTCTCGTCCATCGTATCAAACAAGGACGAGTTTAAAGTCACTTTGGACGTGCAGCAGTTCAAGCCAGACGAGCTTAAAGTCAAGGTTGAGAACGACATGATTGTCGTTGATGGGAAGCACGAGGAACGATCAGACAAGCACGGCTTTGTCTCGAGAGAGTTCACGAGGAAATACAGGATTCCGAAGGATGTAGACCTTAACGCTCTCAAATCTAATCTTTCTTCGGACGGTGTTCTTTCCTTTCAAGCACCTAAACTGGTAAGTTGATAATTTTCCTAATTTCGCAATTTCATATATTTAATTTATTTGCTAAATATATTTTTTGTACGAAGGTTACCAAAGAAAATGCTGCTCGTGAGATTCCCATCAATCACACCAATGCCCCAGCTTTGAAGCAGAACAAAGAAAAACAACAGAATGGTGAAAAATAAGACTGATCTTCCTTATCTTGTAAATTAACATAAATTGTTAATTTTCTCTCCTTTGACAGAATTACCAGATTGATTCCTTTTCGTATAATTGTTATTAACTAATAAAGTAATTATGTGTAATAAAATGTATCTATTTGTTTCTAGATAATTTAAATAAATATCATTAAACCAAGATTTTTGTTTTAATTTACTGCATATTTCATTTTATTTCAACTGACGTTTGAATTGTTTTAATCTATTTTTTAAACATGCGTTACATTTAAAACTGTAAAATAACAATTTAAGATTCTATTATCTTAAGCACTATTTTGCAAGGTTTGATCCAAAGTTAAAAAGAAGGGAGAAAAAAATGTTTTAATGGAAATCACTAAAATAATGTTAGACTACAAAAGCGGTAGGTTCACACGCAGAACAAAAAAAAAAAAAAAAAAAAAAAAAAAAAAAAAAAAAAAAAAAAAAAAAAAAANTAACCCCTCCCCACAGAGGTCGGTGTTTTTAACGCGGGTGTGAGTGTGTATGTGTGTATTAATCTACGATACAACTAGCTTAAAATTATGTCCGTTTAGTCGCCTTTTACGACAAGCAGGATTCACTGTGGAGTTATTCTGACCCCTCACAACAGAGGTCGGTGTTTTTAACGCGGGTGTGAGTGTGTATGTGTGTATTAATCTACGATACAACTAGCTTAAAATTATGTACGTTTAGTCAGTTTTTCCGACAAGCAAGGAACACTTTTGATTTATTTTAACCCTTACCCACAGAGGTACTACCTACAATACAACTAGCTTAACTTGCATTAACCAAACTATTAAAAATATTGGAAAACACTTACATTTCTCTTTATGTGTATAGCTGTTCTGCTGTCCTCTGTTCGTTCCTGTATTCCCGTTCTTTCTGTTGAAATGTATGAGTTTTCCACCACGGTTTGTATGCGGCCATTTTGGTTATTATAGTAAAAAGTACGTGAGCCATGCCCAACCCAAAGTGTCAGTTTTCTTAATGACCTTTTCTGAATATTTGTTTTGGGATAGAACGAAAAAGTTCGTTTTTATTTGTTATGAAATTTGATTTTGTCATTTTTTGTGTGTATTATTTGAAAATTCATCGATCATTTTGTATTGATCTCTCGTTATTCATTATGTAATTTTTTTATATTAATTGTTGGACGTTCTTGGTCGGTAGTTGCTATTACGGTTATTGGTAGTTGCTAGTTGATGAACTTAAAGGATGACGTTTTTGACTAAATGAGTAATTCTATTTTCTTACTTAAGTTACATCACTACGTTTGCGGTTAAAAAAATTGTACTTACCCTCACTCGTACGTTTTGTTGGCAGGTGCCCTTTTCGGCCCTGTTCGATCTGAAATTTAGAATTGAGTATATAGTTAAACTTTAAAAATATTGTAATTTTTCATTTTACAGGCATTGCAATGGTAATTTCATGTTATGCGTATGGGTCAGCTTCGTGACCAATATCTAATTGATTTTTAGAATTTCTACAAATTCTGGAAAAAATTTAAACTATGTTTTGTCCACAAAAAGTAAAAAAAAATTGAATCTCATAAATATAGGAGAACATTTACGATTTTGTACTTTTGGAAAAAAATCAGTTTCCTTATTTGTAATATTGGAATATGTTTATAATGTGAAAACGTTTTTTGAATTCGTTATAAAAAAAAGTGAAGATGATTCCGTCTACAAAATCATAAGCTTTCTGTGTAAGAGATTTATTATGAAAAATATTCCAAAATGTGTAATATATAAGTTTAATGATTTAAATAAGAACATATGTAAATAAATTTCTACTTTCACAATCCGACAAGTTGTGACATGTTTTATAATAAAAGAATGAGAGGGAGTGAGTGAGAGAGTGATATAAACTGTGAACCGTAAGCAGTGGGAGCATGCCAGGTTAAAATGATGAGAATAAAAAAGGATGAGGAACATAAAGAAGGTGAAAATGGAAGAAAGGAAAAAGCCCAACGAATAAACAGTAACATGAAAAAGAACAACACAGACAGACGGTAAAAAGAAAAAAAAAGAAGGTGATAAAAAGATAGTGAAAACAACAGAACAAATGAGAGATACGTAATAAAAGAAAAGAGGGTAAGATTGAGTGAATAAAAATATGATGCATAAAAAAGATGGAAGAAAGGAAGAAACATAACGAAGAAGTAGAAAGAGATGGAAACGTGGCAAAGAAGGACCTACAATAACGAGGTAGAAAGAGGAAGTGGGAAACAGAAAGAGAAAATTGAAAGCGTGTCACAGAGAAAGTGAGTGAGTGAGTGTGTGTGTGTGTGTGTGTGTGTGTGTGTGTGAGAGAGAGAGAGAGAGAGAGAGAGAGGATGTGAGAGAGGGTGAGGGAGAGCGTGTGCGTAAATTTTTTCAAGTTTATTATATGTGTATGCATACAGTTGTATTTTTAAATCCAAATTCTCTTTTCAAAACCAAAAAATCTTGTAATTTTTTTCTAAAGGACTGTCATTTCCTCAATATAGAAACGAAAAGCAAAAAAATGTTGTCAACAAAATTGTACCTTCATTTTAAGATTGTAGAAGTGTACTAAGAAAAAGGAGGCGGAATAGATTGGCTCGTAGAATATTTTCATTTGGATTTTGAATAATTAAAAAAATGTCAAGTTTGGGAACTTCAGAAAAAATGTTAACTTACAGGGAATCCTCTCTATAATGCTAATCTTCCATGCTGGAACGAGAAAACACTGCATCCTGTTTCGTAAACGGTCACTTAACACAAAAATAATTGAAAAAGAGCGCGCATAAAATTTCATTCGAAAATTTTTCTAAAAGGACTGTTTGTCGTCTCCTTGGTTACGAACTATGACCGAAAGCTTACATTTTCTTTGCCTAATTTTAAATTGGGAAGTTTATAGGCCGACACACAGCTGAGGTCATCGCCGGCCCTCTGCGTGTTTTCCTTCTTTTCCTCTTCTTTCGCGCTTTTTTTTTGTTTTTGGACTGAAGCCATTTGAACGTCTCGATCTTGTTACTGACTCACTGATTTCAAATATTGAGTGAATAACAACATGATGTGGCATAAAAAAAGATGGTAATGGAAGAAAGGAAGAAACATAACGAAGAAGTAGAAAGAGATGGAAACGTGGCAATGAAGGACCTACAATAACGAGGTAGAAAGAGGAAGAAAAAATTGAAAGCGTGTCACAAAGAGAGTGAGTGGAGTGTGTGTGTGTGTGTGATGAAGAGAGAGAGATAGATAGATAGATAGATAGATAGAGAGAGAGAGAGAGAGAGAGAGAGAGAGAGAGAGAGAGAGAGAGAGAGAGAGAGGGAGAGATTGACGGAGAGGGAGAGTGTGTGTGTAAAATGTTTAAAGTTTATTATATTTGTATGCATACAGTTGTATTTTTAAATCCAAATTCTCCATTCAAAACCGAAAACCCTAGTCGGATACTAATGATTTTTTTCAAAGAAAAACCATACAAAATTTATCTCGTAATTTTTTCTAAAGGACTGTGTCATTTCCTCACAAAATAAAAACCAAAAGCAAAAAATGTTGTCTTAATAAAATTGGACCTTCATTTTAAGATTGTAGATGTTATTAGTGTACTAAGAGCAAAAAAGGCGGAACAGATCGGTTCGTAGGCTATTTTCATTTGGATTTTGAGTAATTAAAAAAATATCAAGCTTGGGAACTTCAGAAAAAATGTTTACTTACAGTGAATCCTCTCTATAATGCTAATCTTCCATGCTGGAACGAGAAAACACTACTTCCTGTTTCGTAAACACAAAAATAATTGAAAAAGAGCGCGGATAAAATTTCCTTCGAAAATTTTTCTAAAAGGACTGTTAGCCGTCTCCTTGGTTACGAACTATAACCGAATGTAAAATTTTGAAAGCGTGTCACAGAGACAGTGTGTGTGTGATGGAGAGAGAGAGAGAGAGAGAGAGAGAGAGAGAGAGAGAGAGAGAGAGAGAGAGAGAGGGAGTGGGAGAGCGTATGTGTAAAATTTTTACAGTTTATTATATTTGTATGCACTTTATTATAGTTGTATTTTTAAATCCAAATTCTCCTTTCAAAACCGAAAAAATAATTCACCCTTGTTGGATAATAATAATTTTTTTTTCAAAGAAAAAAACCGTACAAAATTTCTCTTGTAATTTTTTTTCTAAAGGACTGTTTGTCATTTCCTCACAAAATAAAAACCAAAAGTAAAAAATGTCTTAATAAAATTGGACCTTCATTTTAAGATTGTAGATGTTATTAGTGTACTAAGAGCAAAAAAGGCGGAACAGATCGGTTCGTGGAATATTTTCATTTGGATTTTGAATAATTAAAAAAATGTCAAGTTTGGGAACTTCAGAAAAAATGTTAACTTACAGGGAATCCTCTCTATAATGCTAATCTTCCATGCTGGAACGAGAAAACACTGCATCCTGTTTCGTAAACGGTCACTTAACACAAAAATAATTGAAAAAGAGCGCGCATAAAATTTCATTCGAAAAATTTTCTAAAAGGACTGTTTGTCGTCTCCTTGGTTACGAACTATAACCGAATGCTTAAATTTTCTTTGCCTAATTTTAAAGTGGAAAGTTTATAGGCCGACTCACAGCTGAGGTCATCGCCGGCCCTCTGCGTGTTTTCCTTCTTTTCCTCTTCTTTCGCGCTTTTTTTTTTTTTTTTTTTTTACTGACTTTCCGATTTCAAATATAATAATAATATATACTTTTATTGCAAAAAAGAAAAGTTATAAACATTACATAATATATAATTTAAAGTTAATTTACGGCATTGAGGGTGCGTCTGCCTGAGGTCGGAGTGAAGCATCACGGAGAGCTTTAGTGAAGTATACTTGTATATAAATGTAATAAGCAAAATGAAGTATACTTCACTAATGACAGAATGGCCAAAATACTCATGAAATTCATGAAATCCTGTCAGACGCAACGAGTGCAGTCGGGCCAGCAAAATCGGAAAAGACAGAATGGCCAAAATATTAAAGAAAACACATTTGTTTAAAGAAATAGTTGTATTTGTATCAAGTTGAAAAAACCTGTTGGAAAAAAAATTAAGTGGCCCATGAGGGGATCGAACCCGCGACCTTCGCGTTATTAGCACGACGCTCTAACCAACTGAGCTAATGGGCCGGTTGGTTCTGGTGGGCTAAAACGCCGTACATGACTTCCCATTCAAGTAAAGTTGTACTTCGTTTATTTATTTGTTTGTAATTGTTAAACAAATCACTTGATTATTAATTTTTTCTGAAAAACAATTAAATTAATTTTAAAAAAAGATCGAATTATCTTCAAAAAACCGAATGAATTGTTCAAATTACAGATACTTTTATTTATTGTAATACATATTTAAAAACCGGACAGATACACTGATACTCGGTGAAATTAATTCTCTGTCGCTCTCTTTATTTCTCTCTCTCTCGCTCTCTTTATTTCTCTCTCTATCTCACTCTCTTTCTTTCTCTCTCTCGCTCTCTTTTTCTCATTTTCTCTCCCTCTCGCTCTCTTTCTTTCTCTCTCTCACTTTCTCTCTCCCTCGCTCTCTTTTTTTCTCTGCTCTCTTTTTCTCATTTTCTCTCCCTCTCGCTCTCTTTCTTTCTCTCTCTCACTTTCTCTCTCCCTCGCTCTCTTTTTTTCTCTTTCTCACTTTCTCTCTCTCTCTCGCTCTTTTTTTCTCTCTCTCACTTTCTCTCCCTCTCGCTCTCTTTTTTTCTCTTTCTCACTTTCTCTCTCTCTCTCGCTCTTTCTTTCTCTCTCTCACTTTCTCTCCCTCTCGCTCTCTTTTTTTCTTTTTCTCACTTTCTCTCTCTCTCTCGCTCTTTTTTTTTCTCTCTCTCACTTTCTCTCCCCCTCGCTCTCTTTTTTTCTCTCTCTCACTTTCTCTCCCTCTCGCTCTCTTTTTCTTTCTCTCACTTTCTCTCTCTCTCGCTCTCTTTTTTCTCTTTCTCTCACTTTCTCTCTTGCTCTCTGTCGCTCTCTTTATTTCTCTCTCTCTCTCAATTTTTCTCTCTCTCGCTCTCTTTCTTTCTCTCTCTCTCTCTTTCTTTCTCTCTCTCGCTCTCTTTTTCTCATTTTCTCTCCCTCTCGCTCTCTTTCTTTCTCTCTCTCACTTTCTCTTTCTCTCGCTCTCTTTTTTCTCTCTCTCACTTTTTCTCCCTCTCGCTCTCTTTCTTTCCCTCTCTCTCTCTCTTTTTTCTCTCTCTCGCTCTCTTTCTTTTCTCTCTCTCTCTCACACACTCATTATCTCCCTCTATCCTTCTATCTTTAAGTATCTACCACTCTTTAGCCCTATCCCATCACTTCTTCTCTCCTTCTCTACCTATCTTTACCTACCAGTATATACCAATCTCTTACTTTTTCCCCACCCTTCTTACTCTTTCTCTTCCTCTCTCTTTCTCTCTCTCTCTCTCTCTCTCTCTCTCTCACACACACACACACACACACTCACACACTCTCACAAGCAAGTGGCAGGTATCTTTCTGTTGTTGATTTGTTTTTGTTTTGATGATTTAGCCTTCGATATTTTCACCACCCTGTTATTTTTTTGTTTTTTTAACAAGAGAACAAATTGAAACATTTTCTGTGCAACGTATTAAATTATTTTAACGAGTGAGGACGTGATGGCTTTCTTCGCCCTTAACAGCTCTTGTATGTTTCCATCCTGATCATCATGATGAATAAGTGCTTTGACGTTTATTGTCGGCTCCGGCACAACGACATCGTCAAAATAATAAAATGTAGGATTTTCCAAATATTGTTTATACAGTTGAAATATTTCCTTGTGATAATTTAAATAGTTGATAAAAGCGGATTTATACAGTTTGTACATGTCGGCGTATGTATCGGTCGTGTGATACCTCTCGTACAGTACGGCCAACGGTTTTGAATGCCCATACGGACTCGGCACCTCCTTATGTTGATTTTCCCAGCTTCTTTCAATGGCCGGCGTTCCGTAGTAGTGATTTCCGGACAAGGCGAACAACCATTTGAAACTGAGGGGGAGATAGTGCGACAGGTCCTTTTTCTTCAGGAAGGTCATCTTGTAATCCGTGAATTTGTAAGGTATGTCGAATCTCTGGGTCTTGGACCTGAACAGCTTCTTATTGTTGATTTCCACCTTGAATTTCAACTCGTCGCCGTAGTTGACGGTCTCCTCGTCGAGGCTGTCTTCTGGCGAATCGAGCAGTGTCGAAGAGAGGTCGCAAGACGAGTCCAAGTACGAGGTCGAACTGTCATGAACGTTGAAGACATCGTCAATCACGTTCCTTTCTATTTCTTCTTTTTCTTCTTCTTCTTTTTCTTCTTCTTCTTCTTCTTCTTCCTCCTCCTCCTCCTCTTTTTCTTCTTCTTCTACGACGCTTGCTAGATTTTCGCTTGTCACTATGGTCGATTGGGTACTATTATCACAGAAATCGGGCACGAATTCCCACCCGGAGAAGTCTCGACCCACCACGAAAAACCTGTTTGTGTAAAGCATATCTCTAGCTACGGAATCCTTCGCGTTGATGCTCTCGTCGAGGCAGACACATTCGAATTTGCCGTCCGAGTACACGCACAAAGCCCGCATGAGGCTGTCCGTGCACTTGAAAATAGGCTGTTTACTCGAAGAACCGGTTTGAAGATTGATCTCTGTCACTGTTACGTTGCGATGTTCATCTTTTCTTTTTGATTTGATCGTTATTAACTCCTTCTCGATTTGAACGGTCGTCGTTTCGTCGAGGCGTATGAAGTAGGTGGCATCGCCGTTCCTCGTCATGCACGTCGATTCTTCCAGTCGGACCGAGCATATGTCTGACTTTTTGAAATGTACTCTAACGTATTTTGGGTGTTCTTGCAAATACTCGTTTTCAAATCCTATGAATTCTTCGTCTTCGTTCGGCTCTTCGACCTGGCTAGGCGTCTTTTGTTTACTCGTGGCGCGATTTGGCGTGGTGAGGATCTTCGACGGGTCTATCCTTATTTCGCGAGGGATCGACGTGATGAGCGTGCCGTCGGCGTATTTGAAATGGAGGGTGCCGTCGTATTTGTAGAAACTGGTCGAAATGTCGCCCCTTTTCACGTAGAGCTCACGGCCGAGGTTGTGCGCAGCACGGATCTTGCAATCCTGGCGTTTGTCGCAAAGCTGGTTGTCCTTGTAGGTCCACCTGACCCCACACCAGTCCAACATGTCGTACTCGATGATTTTCAGCCTGCTCGGCAAAGTGTAACGCAACTGTGGGATTGATGAGGTTTTTTTCGTCTCGCTCTTTTTCGGGGATTTCACACCTTTTCTCAATTCAAACGTGTTTTTCCTGACCCTATGTGCTTTCACACTGGCCGCCCTGAAAATAAGTTTACGTAAACATAATTTAATTACAACTCACTTTAAAATTGCAACACGTAAAAATGTAGGATCGGAGCCTACAATGAACAAACACGCACACAACCAAAAGAGGATAAGGCATAGATGGTGACCACCATCGAAAGTGAATATTGATGTGTCATCGGCAAAGGCAAAAGTATCAGCGTGAGTTCTACCCTGTGTGACGCATTTCCTTAGATGGATGAAAAGAAGTGTCTTGGGCAAATTGGAAGTGTCGGTCTTTAAGATAGCATAAGGTAGATGGTAGGATACCCCGATTGCCATTATCATGTCAAATGCTTGAGATATATCCAGGAAGACACCAGGGCGGTTTCAGTTCGAGGGCAATGGTAATGACGTCTACAACGCGGTAAACTTGATGGCTACTGATGATTAGGAGTAATGATTATTTGGAGATCGTGAGATGCGGTGTGATGTACGTCCACCACACATTAGGAGTAATGTGGGAAGGTATTTCATTATACATAAGGAGCATTAGTAGTTTTTCTAGTATCTTGGAAATTGGGTAGGCTTGTTCTGCTTAAGAATAATCCTTAGAGAAGAGAATTTCCCTAGGATGGGGTAAGTACATAGTTCATAAAGATAATTGCGTTTTTAGGGTGTTGAGAACATTAATTTTTCATTCTCCGGAGATTATATATATGTATTTTACTTCTTTGGGAGAAAATGGTTTGGGAGGAAGGCAAAGTTGTATTGGTTCGTGAAATTCATTGATAATATTGGTGGGGTGGTAGTAGTCGTGTATGTCAGGGTGTGGGGGTGAACATTTTTGTAGTTCGGCTTTATCCTCGTCGGATTTATCCCATGGTCTGTTTGCAAACGTGCTTTGAAAGTTGAGGGAAATACAAGTTAAAAGACTTTCAGTGGTATGAAATAAGACAAGTTAGCGCAAAAGGCTTATTACGATATGATTAATCGAGTAGGACTTATTCCCATTAATAACTGATAGTTTTATAAGTCTATTATTTATTTACCTTTCCCTCTCAATTTGCACAATTTGGTTCATCAAGTCAATGCTCATCATCAATTCTTTTTCGGTCATTAAGCGGGCCTCGTAAATCGTCGTGACTGTAGAATCCGGATGGAGGATGGATATTTCGCCGTTCAGCATGAACTGTATGACCGAACCGTTGTTCATGCACACTCTGAGGCTTTCTTTGACTCCGTTGTACCAGTAGAGCTCTTCGTAGAGGTATTTCTGATAAACGCAGACTTGTTCGTCGATTTTAACGAACTTAAGGGTGAGACCGTTGGGCAGTGTGGCGACGACGTCAAGTTTGACATCCGTCTCGATCCTGGAAGCTTTTTTGCCGGTAGTTTCCGGGTATGCCGTTTTGATTCTCTCTACATCCAAATTGAAAATAATGCCGTTGTTCGCTTGAACGAACAGAGACTTTACCGGCGCTTCCTGTTGGTTGGATGTGCTTATCTTAAAGACAAAGGTATTTCCAAAAGAGTCTAAGGTTATCGTTTCACTAAGTTCTCTGTTGTCACGTCTGATGGTGACAATCGGCCCTTCGTAACTGACGAATTTTCCGATTTCTTCGTCGATGATCAGGCTTTCCGTGTCGTACACAAGCCTTCTGCCCATCGGGCTTTTCTGTATCGGCGGAAGCGGGTATTGAAGCTTTTCTGCCGATTTGTCGTCTATTTCACAATCGGGGAGAAAACGATGGATGAATGACTTTCTGGCCAGTTCGTCGGCCTCTCTTATTTTGTCACGATTGATTTCGAGCCATTTCTCTTTCTTCGGCAAGAAGTGAAATTCCCTAAAGCTCACGTTTGTATCTAGACGTAGGAATAGTTCAGACGTCGTAGGTCCTTCGTAATTGAATTCGTTCTTAAACCAGAAGACGATTTTATCAGTGAGGGTGAGGTAATGGTAGTAGGACCAGTTGTATTTGTTAAAAGCGTCCTGAAGACACTGAAGGATTAAGTCTGCCTTCAGCTCTTCTACTCGAAGGGAGTTGAACAGATAGCCCTTGACGTTGTAATCGAACATGCTCAACAGCTCTCTACAATGATGAAATTTCGATAATTTCATGTTGTCCTTGTCTTCGATGGACATTTCTTCAAATTTGAAAGCAATTTTGGAAAATTCTTCATTAGAGATTTCGTCGTTTTTTTCCGACAAATTTATGAGTTTGGTGAAGATCATTTGGTGTAAGTGAAGCTGGAACATATCGAAGGGCATTTTAACATCCCCGCATTTCCACAGCTTGTATAAATGGCTCTGTTTGCTGATCCGGGTCGCCGCGTCCTGTTCCTCGTAATAACGCCAAAGCGTGGAATACGGCATGTTTTTGTACGTGTTTATGTGAATTTCCATTAGGTCGAAACCCGTGGAGTCGATGTCGACATATTCGATCCCGATTTTGTCCTTGTAGTGGAGCAAAACGGGCTGTTCTCCTAGATCGCTGTCCTGAAAGGACTTGCTTTCGATGAGCACCGTACTCTTCAACGAGGGACACGTACTTTTCGCTTTTTCCACGATGACCTCCACCATGCTGAAAAGTATCAATTCTATGGTCGTGTTTTCCAACGGCATCATCTCCAACAACAGCTGGTACGGTATCACCAGCAAGTCGTTCACCTGTGCCGTCGGGATTTCTACGACATTGCCATCGTTCATGTAGTGTATGTAAGTTCTCATTTGGTCGACCCATTTGAACATGAGCGATTTCACTGCGTCGAACATAACCTGACCGTACATTTCCAGCGGGGCGTTTTTGATTTCTTGCACTTTGTACGGTACGACGATGAAATTGTTGAAAAGTTCTTTCTGGGGGTGATTACGGATCAGTTCGTCTAGATCAACCCAGTATGAATTCGACGGCACTTTCGACGATTGGCTTGTGATGCTCGTTCCGGCTTTCTTCGAATCGATACTCCCGCGTTCTTTGACCATCTCCTCTATCCAATTTTTGGCGGCGATCGTCTTCCATTCGAAGTGAACAGAAATAGCCAAATTGACAGGGACGTTCACCTCCAATAAATCGACGATCAAGTTCACGTCCTTAAAACCCGTTAGCACGAAGTATACGTGAGGTCCAGGCGACGGAAATCCCGAAACGCTGCAGAACAACTCCTTTTTCGGATGTGCCGCGATCCTGAACAGCATCAAGTCTCTCACTTTCAAGATGTAGTTTTTGATTTCCTTTGCGTCCTGTTTGAATAACGAATGTTTGTTGCCCGAGGCAGTTTTGCTTTTCTCGTCATTCCTCGATCCTGGCAAATAGTGTGAATTCCTTTTGACCCCGCCCCATAGAAAATGTTGTCTCAAGACTTTCCGGTTCAAGTTGACAATCAACTTTGGATGGTATGAGTTCTCGAAGGACGTCACAAGAAACTTGTCGACTACGTGCTCTTCTGCCAACAGCGTCACCATGCATGACCATTTCTCGTCGTTGACAGGAATATTTTTCCAATTCATTTACTACAGATTAAACAATAACGAGTTAAAAACAATATGTTCACAACTCACATATGAACAACAAACTTTAAATACAAAGTTGATTTCACGTTATTTTGTTTATTACTGTACTTGTGGCAGAATAAACACCATAGCCTACGTTTTCCCAGGACAGTGATATAACACACTTTTTATTTCACACCTGGCTCGTGTAATACGTGTATTTGATGAGTGAGAGAGAGAGAGAAAAGAGAGAGAGAGAGAGAGAGAGAGAGAGAGAGAGAGAGAGAGATTGAGAGACGTAGCGAGATAACAATGACCTTGAGTGATCAGGCAGCAAGAAAATATAGTGATAAGAGCCTGCCAGAGAGAGTGAGAGAGAGAGAAGAGAGAGTGAGAGAGAGAGATTGAGAGACGTAGCGAGATAACAATGACCTTGGTCCTTGAGTGATCAGGCAGAAAGAAAATATAGTGATAAGAGCCTGCCAGAGAGAGTGAGAGAGAGAGAGAGAGTGAGAGTGAGAGTGAGAGAGAGAGATTGAGAGACGTAGCGCGATAACAATGACCTTGGTCCTTGAGTGATCAGGCAGCAAGAAAATATAGTGATAAGAGCCTGCCAGAGAGAGTGAGAGAGAGAGATTGAGAGACGTAGCGAGATAACAATGACCTTGGTCCTTGAGCGATCAGGCAGCAAGAAAATAGTGATAAGAGCCTGCCAGAGAGAGTGAGAGAGAGAGAGAGAGAGAGAGAGAGAGAGAGAGAGATTGAGATTGAGAGACGTAGCGAGATAGCAATGACCTTGAGTGATCAGGCAGCAAGAAAATATAGTGATAAAAGCCTGCCAGAGAGTGAGAGAGGGACAAAGAGACATAGCTAGATAAAAATGATCCTGAGTGATCAAGCAGAGACGAAATGTAAGGATAAAAGCCTGTCAGAGAGTTAAAGAGAGACATAGTGAGAAGAGATTGGGCATGATTGATCAGGCAGATAAAACATATATACATAAGAGACCATCAAATGTTAAAAAATAAAATATATGCAATTCGCTCATAAGGGAGGTTACAAACAGACAAAGTCATGAAGGGACTGACAGACATTAAAGACATTGGACAAAGAAAAACAGAGATACAAAGTCATGGAGAGAAGATAACCATGAGCGACCAGTGACAAAGAAAATTTACAGATAAGAGACTGTGAAGCAGAGAGAAAGAGAAAATATTCAGAAAGATCGAAATTGAAGGCAAAAGAAATGAAGTCAAAAAGAGTCTGTTAGAGAGATAGATTGTGACTTTAACGGTGAAAAACAGAAAAAAAAACCTATATAATATGAGGCTACAAAATAAAGTGAAAAAGAAAAAGAGAATAAGAGGACTTTTGCCCACTTCATAAATTAACTCCAAATAATTCTAATTATTCTACAGTCTGAAACTGCTTACTGTACTTTAAAAAATAAAATAAAAAGATATGAGTCATAAATGTAGAAAATAAAGGTTCAATGGAAGAAACGACACCTTTTTTTAACAAACATATTGATTATTATCGTTATCACCACTCTCACAATATCGTAAATAAATTAACAAATTAAAATTATGAATAAAACAGGTTAAAAAGATTCAATAAAGACATGCACTTCACATATTATTGTACACATTAAATAATACAAAATATTTTCATAAAATAATTTATTTATTTTCCAAATAGAATTTATATAAAGAATTTACATATTGAAAATATAAGCTTGTTTTTCTCTAAAATCTATTATATAAGGCGTTTATAACTTTCCATCCTAGATCAATATATAGTTTGTTTTCTTTCTTTTATTAATCCTTTTTTTATTCAGGTAACTCCAATTGCTTAGATCTTGGAAAATGAGTATTAATTAAAATAATTCTATAATGACAGGAATATTTGACACAATTAAATTGAATTATTCTTTCTAAGGATTGGATGATTGCTTAAATAAAATTTATAAAATAGTATTCATGTTACAAGTAACTCTATGAATTATTCCCTAAAATGAAAACAATATGAGCATATGAAGGAGAAAAAACGGTTAATCCAGAAAAGAAGAGCAACATTTAGAAAAAAAAAAATTACTTTAAACACACATCATTAACAAATAATATTCTGGGTAACTTGCTATAATAATATAAAAATATCAGTTTATTAATATTGGTTGGAAAAAAAAAATTGTTTTGTATAGATATGTACATTCAACATTTATCAATGAACAAATTTAATCTACAATCAGAATTTCTGGGAAAGTGATAAAAATATTAAACCTAAGAAAAAACAAACTCGAGGCCTTAAATGAAAAATCATCACCTTCCACCATTCTTCGAGAATAGAATCCCCGCCCCTAAAAAATTGCCTTAAAAAAAAATATAGAAGGCAAAGGAATGTTACTTTTATTATATTGATAAATTGCAGTTGCTAATAGCTTCTACCCAACTACTTTTATAAGTTTTTCTTAGATCCCCCGAAATTAATATTAATACTGTTAAAACAAAAACAAAACAAAAATAAAAAAAGAGGAAAAAATTGTGAATAATGAGCAAACCTCTACAATCTAGGGCTCTAGAAAATGCATGTAAAACCTATATATCACAATCAGGATTCAGCGTTTGTCAAGCTGTTTTAGTCATTGGTGTAATCCATTGTCTTGATGAACTCGATCGCAGAGCAGAATTGCGTCCAATAGTACTGTTCTTCTCCTTCGAGCCGGTTCCCGTAGTAGTTAGTGACATATTCAATCGTGCTGAGCAGTGATGGCGGATTCGCCTGTAAATTCGATGAAGTTGGTAGGAAAAAATAGTTTCCAAAAATTTTATTTAAGATTAGTATTATACCATTATAAGGACATAAACGAGTACTGGCATCAAATCGTCCGCTGCTGGAACACACGTGAGAGACAGGAGATTCATTATCGTTGTTATACTTCTGAGTACGCAATGCAGTTTGTCCCTTGGACTCCTGTACGCAGCCATTTTACGTATTTCAGTCTGCGCGCTCAGCCAAGGGCATTCGGAATGGAACATCTGTGGGATCCTTAGATCCTTGTGATCCGGCGATATCACCTTGGACAACTTGGTGATGTGCTTTTGTAAAACCCTTTTAGAAGTGCAATAAATTAAAACTTCATGAATTTTAATTTTATTTATTATTTATTTTTATAAGTGTAAATAAGTAGCATATATTTTTTAAAATAATGAACACAAGAAAGAAAAAAAAAAGAAGAAAAGAGGAATATGTATTAGAGCAAATCACTGTCAGTTATGAGAACGCCTGACCAGTAATGATGCTTCAGGCAACAAAGAGAATTATTTGGAAGAGTGTGGGAAGTATCTGATTTTTAATGGTGGATAATTGTGAAACTTCTTGTAGCTGTTCTTGCTAGGCTGTTGTGAATAGTAAAATTAGATACACAGATTAGCATTGATAATAGTTCGAAAATTTTGGATAAGGATTGGAGTTGTCAAATAGTTGAATGAGAATGTGTGAACCTGACATGACACGATATTTATGATAGCAAAGGGTGAACGATGTACTCATAGGTGGTAAGGATTGTTTGGAGTCTATATTTTTTAAAGGAGAAGTCTTAAGATACTTCCTTGGGGAACCCCTGCATCTGTGAGATCCACTGGTAACTTGATCGTATGGGTCAGTTAAGAAGGATTTTAGATAGAAGGTAAAAGGGCGGACTTATGAGGCTTGCATTAGGTACGAATACACCTTGACAGCACTTCTTTCATCCAAGAGTTGTAGTGATGATATCTAAAATGCAATGGAGTTCTCGAATAATGGAATGAGAATGTCTGAACCGCACAAGATGGGATGTTTATGATAGTGAAAGTTGAATGGCATCATTCATAGGTGGTAAGGATTCTTTCAGAAGAGGTAGAAATGTTTGGAGTGTATATTTTTTAAAGGATGGATCCTAAGATACTTCCTTGGGGAACCCTTGCATCTGTGCGAGCCACTGGTAACTTGATCATATCTGTCATCTAGATTAGATAGCAGGTAAAATGGCAGACTTTATAAGGCTTGCTTTCTATATACGAATACACCATAGCAGCGCTTCTTTAGCCCCAGAGTTGTAGCGATGTGTGCAATGCAATGGAGATCTCAAATAATGTAATGAGAATGTCTGATCCGCACAAGACGGGATGTTTATAATAGCGAAAGTTGAATGGCAACATTCATAGGTGGTAAGGATTCTTTCAGAAGAGGTAGAAATGTTTGGAGTGTATATTTTTTAAAGGAGGGATCCTAAGATACTTCCTTGGGGAACCCTTGCATCTGTGCGAGCCACTGGTAACTTGATCATATCTGTCATCTAGTTTAGATAGCAGGTAAAAGGGCAGACTTATGAGGCTTGCTTTCTATATACGAATACACCATAGAAGCGCTTCTTTAGCCCCAGAGTTGTAGCGATGATGTGTGCAATGCAATGGAGATCTCAAATAATGTAATGAGAATGTCTGATCCGCACAAGACGGGATGTTTATAATAGCGAAAGTTGAATGGCATCATTCATAGGTGGTAAGGATTCTTTCAGAAGAGGTAGAAATGTTTGGAGTGTATATTTTTTAAAGGAGGGATCCTAAGATACTTCCTTGGGGAACCCTTGCATCTGTGCGAGCCACTGGTAACTTGATCATATCTGTCATCTAGTTTAGATAGCAGGTAAAAGGGCAGACTTATGAGGCTTGCTTTCTATATACGAATACACCATAGCAGCGCTTCTTTAGCCCCAGAGTTGTAGCGATGATGTGTGCAATGCAATGGAGATCTCAAATAATGGAATGAGAATGTCTGGGCCTGACGTGACGGGATGTTTATAATAGAAAAGGTTGAACGGCATCTTGTTCATAGGTAGTAAGGATTCTTTCAGAAGTGGTAGAAATGGTTGAGGGTATATTTTTTAAAGGAGGTGTCCTAACACCTTGGTGAACCCCTGCATCTGTGCGATCCACTGGTAACTTGATCGTATCGGTCAGTTAAGAAGAATTTTAGATAGCAGGTAAAAGGGAGGACTTATGAGGCTGGCTATCTATCCATGAATATACAATAGCAGCACTTCTTTCACATGAGAGTTGTAGCGATGATATCTACAATGCCATGGAGTTCTAGAATAATTGAATGAGAATGTTTATTTTGCAGAGAATGGGTCTTAAGATATTTCCTTGGGGAACTCCTGCATCTGTGCAAGCCACTGATAACTTGAAATTATGTGTAGGTTATGGAGGATTTTAGAAAAGGTGGTAGGTAAAAGGGAGTTTGGAGTGTATATTTTTTAAAGGAGGGGTCCTAAGATACTTCCTTGGGGAACTCCTGCATCTGTGAGAGCCACTGGTAACTTGATCGTATCTGTCAGCTAAGTAGGATTTTAGATAGCAGGTAGAAGGGCGGTCTTATGAGGCTTGCTTTGTACATACGAATACACGATAGCAGCACTTCTTTCGCCCCAGAGTTAGCAATGATGTCTAAAATGCAATGGAGTTTTCGAATAATGGAATGAGAATGTCTGAACCTGACATGACGGGATGTTTATGATAGTAAAAGTTGAACGGCATCATATTCATGTTTGCAGTGTTTATTTAGCAGAAAATGGGTTTTAAGATACTTGTGGAACCCTTGCATCTGTGCGAACCACTGATAACTTGAAATTATGTGTCGGTTATGTAGGATTTTAGAATAAGGTGGTACTTAAAAGGGAAGATCCTCTCAAGCTTGCAATTGAGCAGAACTTTTCTTATCAAAAGTTTGTTTCATAACTAGGAATGAAGAAACAAAAATACTTACTGATCTCGAGCTGTATCACCCTCTTCATTAGGGTACATTGAATGATTATAAACAGTACTGCACAAAGATCGTTCCACGGTTATCCTCGCTTGTTTTATCTGATCCTCACTTGCTCCTTGAAATAAACAATATTTTACAACAAACATCGTTACAACATGAAATTAAAATTACTTTGCCAGACTGGATCGCGTTCCATTTCGTCCAATATGACGTTCAAGAACGATTCAAGAAGATCGCTCTTTTCATCTGCGAGAGTCAACGATTGGAATTCCATGCTGAACTTGTAAATCTGCTCTTCTCTCTTTTCGAGGAAAATCCTAACGCAGAGTGAACTCAAGAATCCGAGGATTACAGTCTTCTCTCTGTTTACTCTTTCTAACAGCCTGTAATTTTTGTTTTTTATTATGTTGTAATTTACTTAAATGAAAATATTTTTACCTGTCGAGGTTTGAAAGAGTGGATAACAAACATTGCCTGCATTTTATCAAATATGAAATATAGGGCATTCTGTTTTTATAATCCATTTTAAGCGACTGGAACAGCTTATGACACCTGAAAGAATCCATTTATAAAATATTTTATTCGAAATCATTTGAAAGCAAAAAAACTTACTCTTCTTCGCTCAGCATTTTCACACAGCGCAGAGTCTCGTAAAGCTGTGGGATCAGACAAGAATCCTGCAGGTTTATCGCTTCTGCAAGTTGAAGTTGAAGAAAAGCGACAAGTTCGTTTTCTTTCCTGACCCAAGCTTGCCTCTAAAATATTTCCTTGCTTAATGCCATTCTTCGTTTTAAACGATCGTTAATAATTACCATGGGAAGAAAATCTGGAAGTTGGAGAACTTCAGTCGTGGACAGAACGAGACGGAGTTTCTTCTTTGCGTCTTCGAACACATCGTATTCTTTGTCTGCCTTGTCGTTTACATTCGTCTCCGGGTTGGGGGCCGGCCTGGATTTTTCCGTATCGACGTCATTCCTCTGACCTCTGTACTTGGCGAGAATGTCTTCGGAAGTGTCTGAAAAGAATTTTTGATTAGATGCACAATAGGGGGTTGGTCGAAGGACGCTGCATACCGATTCGAGGTGTCCTCTGCTCCTCGGACATTCCCCTCCTGAGCCTCAAAGGCGGCAACATGTCGGTATCGCTGGGTGGCAGCTGCTCATAACTAAATTTAAAAAAATACATTTGATGGATTAAACCTTCCATGCTGTAATTATTTTGATATTAAATAATTACCAATCTCCCCTGAATGATTTTCCTCTACGCTTCTTAAAAGAGAGTTTTAAATTGCGGAAGAAACTATTTTTTGGCTTTCCATCTTCATCAAGCAACTCCTGAAAATAAACAATATAAATTATTTTGTTTCACAGGTTAAAAAAAAAAAAAATTCACCTTGTCACCCCTTTCTGCAGTCTTATCAAAACTTATGCTTTTTGGAATAGCACCTGTATGCGCTGCTGGCTTCGGCATTGGATTGTCCGTCATCAGGACAGAACCGTTTTGAACAATTATTGTAGTTGACGTGAGGCTGAGTTCAGTCGGCGGGTTCCTCGGACCGACGCTGCTACCGCTGGAAGACGAGGAAGCACTGAAGCAACCCCCGACAGCACCAGGTTCCCTGTCAATCCTGTCATCATCCATTGATACCTAAAATACAAAACAAATTATCATTAAAAAAAATCTTTTTTTTTTCTTCTTCTTAACTAACCTCAAGACTTGATGTCGCCTGAGATGAAGTCCTAAATTGCAACTTCGATGACGAAAAAGGCGGAAGAAGTGAAGAAGAATGTAGCGGAGAGTTGGCTGAAGCTTCTGACGTCGGAACACTATGCGTAGGAGATCCGGCTGCCTCAGATGCAGCCACCTTGACCTCGATATTTTTATTAATCTGCGACATTTCTTCATGATTGCCTAAAATTAAAACAATTAGAAAAAGGAAAAAACAATAAAATTTATACAGGGCTTACTGAGACCGATGTGATCCCTGTTGCTTGCGACATATTCAACGGTGCGTCTCCTATTGTCAGGCCGGGAACTCCCTCGTCCAGTTGCATTCGACGGCATACAAGCTGAATCGCTTTTGACCGATCTGCAATCTGCAGCAGGACCTGAAACCACAGACAAAACTTGGGACAATTTATATTGAAAAACATTTGGCTTTCTCTTTTAAAACTATTAATTCCAACCTTTCAAATTATACTTTAAATATTAGAGAAAGACAAGAACTACCTGGTGGCATCATTGAAGCTTCATCTATCTGGTCAAGCTCATTACGGCTTTCTATTTCAGATCGTCCAGTGTCATCAGATCTAAAAGATAAAATATATAAAATTATCTGAACATTAAAAATAAATAAATAAAATACTGACCTAGCTACACTTGCAGTATCATCAGTGTCGACTTCAGTCATTCTTTCTGAATCAGAAGCCATTACATCCGTACTCCAGGCTTCGGAAGCCGTCTCAATTGCATCGCTTAGCTGTTATATTGTTAAAATGAATTATAAGAATTTCATAAATATATTTGGTTTAATTACCTGATTGCTTGATTGCGTTTCAGAAAGAATCGGCGGTGGAGCTGGTTGAATCGGCTGCTGTTCTACGGTCTCGCTGTCACTGGCGAGAACATCTGTACTCCACGTATCGCTTACGAGCGACACCGTTTCATCAGCTCCTTCAATCAACGTTTTAATTTCGAATTTGCCGAACTTGTCGTCCAAGTCGAATCTGGGCTGGGGTTGCATTTTCCTAGGCGGAAGCGGGTTGAACTCGAGCTGCTGCCTCGAGGCAGCGCCGACCGAAGTCAGTTCGTCGCCTTCGGTTATCTGAGAAGAAGGAGTGTCGCGGCCGGATATGTTCGGCGACCCCCTGCCAGACACGTTTGCAGAAATCATGTCGGAAAGGTTGTCGTTCTGATCCTCGGTCTCTAGCTCGAGTGATGAAGCGACGCTGTGATTTGAAGGCACTTCTGACACAACTTCTAAATTGTCGCTGGTGTTTCCGATTGAGCCATCATCATGCGATAAAGAAAATCTTGTCCGTTTTTCCTGTCCTTCCGTCCTATCAATATGCTCAGTCTTACCTTTATTTCTGTTCTTAGATTCTTTCTGCAAAGCTAAAATCTAAAAAGAAAAAAATGTTTTTAAAAAAATATTTATTTGTAAAAGTATCTTGTACCTTTTGCTCTGAATCTAGTCCTAATGAGGTTTCATTGTTAAGGTCAAATGGAATAACAAGCACCGTCGGCCCAGAGTCTTCATCTTCAGGTGAAGAACCATTCTCTACGCCTCCATTTACCCCTGCTAATTTCCCTTTGCTCACTATAGAAAATTAATTCAATTAATTAAGGTTTTTAGTTGAGATAAAAAAGTCAGTGTCACGAGCAGGATTCGAACCCACGACCTTCGGCTAAATACGCCACTACTCTACCACTTGAGCTATCATGACTTCGATCCACTCGATAGAAATTTAATTTTGATTTTTACATTTTTTCCAATAGGATAAAATTTCGAGTACTCACCTTTAGACAGAATGCTAGTTTTCTTGGATGAATTTTCTGGTGAAGAGTTTACGGATTTGACATGACCATTTGAAACTGACGTAGGAAGCTGGCTGATCAATTCAGTCACTTCTTTTTGCAACTTGACATCCTCACAGTTTATCTCATTTGATACCGTCCTTAGAAAATTCACCTTAAAAAAAAAAAATTATACAGAAAATATTAAGATTTAGTTATTTATTACTTACCAAAGAGTATAATTCTGCTTCAGTAAATAGAGCGGCGTTTGTAGAAAGGACTTCGAATTTATTTCCCTCCTCGAAAGTTGGCTCGTCGTTCGACAGGTTCGTATCGATCATCGAGTCGATAATCGAACACGAACTTTCGCTGTCGAAATGTGAATAAAGGTCTTCCAGTTTGGGATCGACTGGTTGGAACTTCCTCATGGCGAGCATTTGTATTATCTGGGCGACTTGCATCAGATTGAAACTCGCCACGATGCTTATAGGAATGTCCGTTATGCCGTAAAGCTCCGGCTTTACGATGGCCGGGCAGATGAACCTGGCAAAAATAAGCTCGGTGCATATAGCGAACGCTTCCTTTTCAGAAAGGCTGTTAGCTTTTATGAGCTTAGAATATATTTGGTTCACGAGCCAGCAAATGGAAGTGGGAAAGCAGTGGAGGTTTTCGTTCAAGCTCAAAATGAAAACTTGCGTTATTGAGACGAGACTTTTAATCGTTGAAGACCTGTGATTTTCAATATCGACTTTGTAATCATCACAGCCTTCTGCCCCTGGCCTTTTCATCCTTTCCTCCAATCTAAAAGAAAAATTAACTCAATACAAATTCAACATTTAAAAAAAATCATTAATCAGATTTTTGAATAAAACCTTATGGCAACTTTTTCAGGATCGATGTCGAGGTACTTTTCTTCCATCATTAATAACTGCATTATCGGCTCGTATAGTGCAGCTGTAAGATACAGCTTGGCAGAAAACAAGTTTTCATGGAAAGACGAGTACAACCGTGAGAATGCGCAAGATCGCCGCAACATTCTGAAAAGAACATTATTCAAACATAAAAATACAATATAAAATTAAAATCATACATTTCCTTTTTCTTTATTATTCATAATTGAACAAGTTAAAGATTGATTTAAGCAGAAATAGTTTAACTTTTATCCCCCCCCCATATATATTTTTTTAATGGGTCATTTTTGAGGGTAAAAAAAACCAAGAATAAACTTTTATTTATTGTCTAGTTACTCATGAACCACAAAGTTTCGATCTAACTATCCAGGGTTACAGATAGGAACTTTACTATTTTAATTAGCAAGATACTCATCAATATATATTTTTGGAAAGGTTTTTGCCGCTAAATTCAACTATGCAGTCTGTTTCGAATTTGGAACAACCGTTCTCAATTTATTCACAAATAAACTTTTTCAAACACTGCTTTTTTGATAAATGAAATATCCAACTTCTTCAATCGATCACCAATTTATTTATTATTTCAATTGATAGTAAATTACTTGGTCCTGATTCAGAAATAAAAATTTTGGAATATTTTGCTCAAATAACATCGATAAATGGGACGCTCTGGAGGTAGCTCAATAAAACCAAATTCAGCCTAGAGCAAAACGTAAATAAAAAATGATTTGATGACCTTTGAGTAATTTGCAAATAAACTTTTTCAAACAATGTTTTTATGATAAACGAAATATCCAACTACTTCAATAAATCACCAATTTATTTATTATTCCAAATGATATTAAATAACTTGGTCCTGGTTAAGAAATAAAAATTTTGAAATATTTTGCTCAAATAACATCGATAAACAGGACGCTCTGGAGGTAGCTCAATAAAATCCAATTCAGTCTAAAGCAAAATATAATTAAAAAAGGATTTGATGACCTTTGAGACTTTTGAATAATTTAAAAAAAAATTGAAATGTTTTAACGCATAGTTTTCTCTTATCATAAAAACCAATGTACTCAAGTTTACTTTTTACATTCTTCAACTTATTAGCACATCATAAAAACACGTTGTCCATTATACCAAAAATTGGAGATTCTGCTATTTTTAATTTGGAGCAATTGTCCTCAATTTATTCACAATTATTTCAACGCTGTTTTTTTGATAATTGAAATCTCCAACTTTTTCAGTCAATCGCCAATTTATTATTTTAATTGATTGTAAATTACTTGGTCCTGATTCAGAAATAAAAATTTTGGAATATTTTGCTCAAATAATACCGATAAGCAGTTTTTTGAATAATTCGCAAATAAACTTTTTCAAACAATGTTTTTATGATAAACGAAATATCCAACTTCTTCAATAAATCACCAATTTATTTATTATTTCAAATGATAGTAAATTACTTGGCCCTGATTCAGAAATAAAAATTTTGGAATATTTTGCTCAAATAACACCGATAAGCAGTTTTTTGAATAATTTGCAAATAAACTTTTTCAAACAATGCTTTTATGATAAACGAAATATCCAACTTCTTCAATAAATCACCAATTTATTTATTATTTCAAATGATAGTAAATTACTTGGCCCTGATTCAGAAATAAAAATTTTGGAATATTTTGCTCAAATAACATCGATAAACAGGACGCTCTGGAGGTAGCTCAACAAAACCCAATTCAGCCTAAAGCAAAACATTAATAAAAGATGATTTGATGACCTTTGAGGTTTTCGAATAATACAAAAATGAAATGTTTTAATTAAATATGTTAACACATCCTAAAAACTATCGCACTAAAATTTACTTTAAAAAAAAATGGAGATTCTGCTGTTGGGAAAAGTAGACCAAAATTTGCTCCAAGCTTAATCGCTCTTAATGAGCTACGTCCAGAGCGTCCGGTTAATTGATTTGAGGAAAAGAAACTAGACAAAAAATAAAAATTTAATATATCCCTGGGGTTTTCACAAAAGCGCCTCAATAAACAAAATATTGGGGGGAGGGCAAGCTAACTTCCCAATTAAAAAAAGTAAAATTTTATTGATAAATTTATTCCTTTATTTAATCATGCCTTTTTTTGTAAATCTTCTTTAAAAATTTACTAACACTCACCTATCAAATCATTTAACTACATATTTAATTCTAATGGTATTTTTTGTAATTTTTTATTGTAATTTTTTTTCTTATATTAATCAAAACAATGGATAAAATGAGAAGTCATTATTCTAGAGTAGGCGTACTATCTGTGTGTAGATAAGTCGCCTGCTATCTTCTTTTTAGCCTTGACATTTCTAGGCACAATGTAAAAACAAAATGAAGCAATTTTTTTTTTAATTTTTATTATTATTACTTTTATTTTTATTTATTTTTTAATGCCCATACCTCCTTGGGTTTTCCGACTGAACGAACTGGTGATTGACCAAGTTGCTGAGGATTTTGAGAACACTGTTCTTGTCCTTCGGGAGGACACAGCTCGTAAAAAGGCCAGTTACGAGGCTGTGTACGAAAGAGGGTATCTCCTCCGAGAGGCACCTTTCCCCGGCAATCAAGATCCTCGCGATCAGCTCTGGCGACTCCCTGAGAGTAAAGAGCATTTCCCCATAGCTTGAACATTTCTGGAAAAAAAATATACATATATAGAGAGAGAGAAAGATATTCTTTCTGCGCAAAATAAAACCTTTAAAAAAATCTATTACTTGGTATCCGAGTGTGGTGAGCGCATCGACGAACATAGTACACTCGAGCGAATTGGCTTTTTTGCAGCATGTTGCCGGAGGGGCGTCAATGCAGGACAGGGCTAGCTTGTTGAGGTTGAGCCTTTGCTGCGACGTCGTCCAGGCAACACGAGCAAGCTTTGACGAAGCTGTCAAAACCTTTTAAAGGAAAAACATTATATTAAAATACTTGAAAAGTGACAAAGGGTTTAGAAATGATTCTCACATATTATATTTACTCAGTACATAAAATCAGCATATACTATAAACATTAAATGTGAAATGAGTATAAAATAAATTAATAAGATAAAAGAAAATTTAATAATATTTAAATAAGAAACTGATTCAGTCTGAATTCAGCAAAAATCGGACACTTAGAGCATTATAAAACCAACAAACTGACAGAGTAAGTTTTAGTTACTAGACATATTAAATGTTCAATTAAAAATTAGATCTTTTTATACTCAAAATACAGAGTAATTTTGTGCTTGAGACAAAATCGCCCAATATTTAAAATAATCCAGAAAATGGCATTGAGAAGAAATTGTTGAGCCAAAGCATATACATAGACATGGAAATTAAACTTAAAAAAAGAAATAATTAAAAATCTTTGGTGCCAAGTTGTGTTAGAAAGAGATAATTAAAGAGATAGAACTTAAAATTTGAAAAGAGCTGGGGGCCCAGTGCGTAAGTGAAGAAGGGAATCAATTGGAGGCACAGATGAGGAAGGATCAACTGTGCGGAACGAGTTTAATGTGAGTGTCCGAAGGATCTGAAGGTGAGGCATCATATGTGTATGGAATTTGGAAGTTAAATGATAAAGGAAGGAGCTAAGGAAGTGTTAATTAAGGTATAACCATTTCGTCGATGCAGAGTCATGAAACCTCCTTGGGATGCAGAAGTTAAAATACACAAAAAAAATTTGTTAGACGTATAAGCTTATCTTCAAGCTCCCTGATGTGCCCCTGAACAAAACACATTCATAATTAAAATTTGTAAGGTACAAAAGGGAAGAAGGTGCCTGGCATGTCGGAACAACAAGAAACAAAATAACGTAGAAATCTGGGAGATATGGGGCTTCCAGGACAAAAATTCCAAGGTTCTTGAAGGTGAGACAGAAGGAAAAGTATGATTTTTAATTGTAAACAAAAACCTAGGAGATAAGGAATAAAGGAGGGAACCTGGGACTTTTCTAATTCGCTAATTGAGTTCATGTCCTACTGAATTCTTAAAATTCCAGCTTGTAAAGGATACATAAATCTGGGAGTCATCTGAATACAGGTGATGTAATACTTTATGAATTTAAGGAAGTCTTTAATGTAACAGCAAAAAGTTTTGCTTGAGCCTTGATTGGATAGAGAAGAGGATGAGGGGATTATTTGGTATTTGCTTGAATACTTGGTTCGAAAGGAAAGGATGGAACCTGCAGACATGTGGGAGACAAAATTTTATGTGTGACGTAAAAGGTACCTACCATTATCAATTTGTCAATAGCAATCTGTACATCAGTGGAGATTTTTTAGAATAGACTGTGTAAGTCAAGACAGAAGCCAAATTGGAGATTTGGGTTTTCTATCTAGGTAGACATTTGTACATTGCAAGATTTCACATGGTTAGAGGGGCTTGATTGGAATTTATTTAGATTGGATTTTTGGATTTATATAGGTTCAAATCCACACATACATACAAACATGTGTCGAGCCTATTCACTTCTCGTTGTACACTGGCGATTCCAGCTTTTCCTTTTTACAGTAAATCGCTGACAGTGTCGAGAATCACCCACCTCGGTGTTGGCAATCTGGAGAGTTACCTCAGTCTTATCCATCCAACCACTGAGATTGGACACCCGGGGGGAGGGGTGCATCAACAGCTGGTCAATTCAGCACCCATGCAGTTCCAACTCGTACTCACATTCATTCGTAAATTCACTCTTTACATCATTCATTCAGTTAGGGTGTTGGAGTACTTGATATTCCTCCTTCACCCTTTACACATATTTTACAACTAACCTAATCAAAAGACAACGGGGTACTCGATATTCCCTCGACCCTTCAGATCAAACATTCACGCTAATAAATACATTCACTCCCAACACAAATTAGATAGGTGAATTCAGCACCTAACGCAGTTCCAAACCCATTTGTACACACATTTACAATATATCCAAATACATTCACTCCTATTTATTCAATTTATTCATTTAAGGTGGTGGAGTATGCGAAATTCTTCCATCACCATTTACACACATCATACAACTAAACCTAAATGAGGGTTGATGGGGTACAAAAATTATTTAGAGAAGTGTATGGTTGTCTATTACGCCACTGGATTTTTTTAAATGATTTTTGCCTAGATTTTTAGTATTTTTTTATTTAAGTCATCTGTATATTCTGTCCTAGAACACTTTTTATCAGTAAGTGTGGCTGTAGTTGTTCTACTGACGTATTCTATTACACCATATCAAACCTTAGCGTTATCTTGATATATGACATCAAATGTTTTGATTTTTTTTTTTTTTTTTAATGAATGAATGGAAAAAACACTATTAAATAAATAAAAATAATCTCTTATAACATATAAGACAAGGCACATTCCAGGAAGGGTTTACAATCAACTTCCAGAGAATATGCTTTTCTATTTTTATTTTATTAATAATTTGGAGATCATGAGATGCGGTCTGGTGTGACGTAGGTTTTAGAAAAACATTTTCTTTATCGTGCCAACGTTTCGATCTTTATTGAGATCATCTTCAGGATTTATAAATATTGTTTAAATTTTACCATCACATGTAGGATGTGAAAAAAAAAATGAATTTTTACATTGCCAGAAATTTTAGATTCAATCAAAGCATTTGTATTTTATTATTATTTCTTGAATTAATTTTTTTCCCAGCACAGTAATTCTAAAAAAAAACAGTGTTTGATAAGGTGTAGGACTTTGCGGAGATAGGTGTGTAAATTTAATGTAAATTGAAGTATGAGGTCAAATGAGGTCTTAATTATGTGATCTACTATAACTAGGGGTGAATGAAGAAGGGAGGTAATAAACATATAATAGAAATAAATAATAAAATAGATACAACAGTTTGAAGGGATTTAATTACATCAAACCATTGAAAGCCTCAAGTCTGAGAATAATAGAATGGCAAACAGCTAAAAACTCAATCATTCATAATAAGTTTACGCTTAAATTAAATTTATCATATATTTTGCAGTTAATGAAATTATTGAATTTATTTTTTCTTCCATAGTTGATTGATTGATTTTTGTGTTTTTTATAAGGAATTATGTAAGTTTTTAATTATTAAAACGCAAAACGTTTTGAAATATATTTAGTAAGCAATTTAAGGAGGTAGACTCAAAACCGGCTTATTAAAAACATCAAGGCGCATATTTGGCAAGAACTGGCTTCAGTCATACTTTCAAAATGTTATGTTATTTGTTAAATTTGTAATAAAGTGTCAAATGAGATTTCTTCTACTTTGGAGGTATCACAAGGTACTCATTTGTGTCCTGTATTTTTCTTGTTTTATATTAACCTTGTTAAATTTGATTTTTACCAATCTCTCTGAGTGGTCTGCCAACATTGAATATAATTCAAATCAAATTTAAACAAAATAGACACATTGAAGATGGCAAAAATGAAGAAATGCCTCTAACAGAACAGCGCAGTGAGGGTAATCATCTTCACCCTGCATCAAAAAGATCTCATGACAAAATTAATGTATCAAACACTAACAAATGATTTTTTATCTTGATCCACTCTATTCAATAGAAATAGAAAACCAAAAACTCACTTTCATAAAAAGTTTTTTTTTAACCTAGTATCGATTTCGGGGTGCTGCCCACTTTTTGCTGAACGAATGACTTTTCAACAAAAGACTAGCAAATTTCAAATGTAGTCGTTTAATACAGTTTCCTATAAGGATTTTACATGACGGTCAATTTTTGAGCTTGGAGACAATTGGCCTTTTTTGATTAAGGGTTGCAGTATCCCAATGACAACTGTGAATTAATGAATAAGATTAAATGAATCAGCGATGACAAATAGGCCAATCTGATCAATTTCCTTTATGGTCACATTCAGAAAACTTTAACATAAAAAAACAACAGCTGAGCCTATTTCATTCTTTATTGATTACGCAATATGATCCTTACCTTTAATCGTCTACCTGTCTTTGCTGGTATGTCAGATTTGTACAATGTTGAATATGATTGAGACTAAGTTTTAAAAGGAACAGACACACCGAAGATGGCCAAAATGAAGAAAAGCATCTGACAGATCAACCCAATGAGTGCAGACGACCACTAAGGATCAAATTACAGAACCACCCCACAAACACAACATGAAATCTCACGACAAATATTTCAAGCATTAACTTTTTTTTTTTAAATACTAGCAAATAACAAATGAGTCGTTTGATACTGTTTCCTATAAGGATTTTAAATTATGTTGGTCAATTTTTGAGCTTGTAGTCAATTGTTCTTTTTTGCAAGGGTTAAAGAATCCTAATGGCAACTGTGAATGAATAACATGAAATTAATAAGCAATGACAAACAAGTCAATCAGATAAATTTCCTTTACAGTCACATTCAGAAAATTTTCATTATTATCTTTTCCTTATAATGTACAAGTCAATTGATCAATATTAACTGATTCTTCTTTAATGTCTTCAACTTGTCTTTTTCGATTAAGGGTTACAGAATCCCAATGACAAAAGTGAATTAATGAATAAGATGAAATGACTCAGTGATGACAAACAGGTCAATCAGATCAATTTCCTTTACAGCTACAGAAAACTTTAACATAAAAAGACAACAGCTGAGCCTATTTTTTGGTTTTATAAGTAATTTGATCTTTACCTTATCCTGTCCTCAAGGTTGATCTGTCAGATTTGTATCAATGTTGAATATGATTGAAACCAAGTTTTAATAGTCAGACACACCGAAGATGGCAGAAATGAAGAAATGCATCTGACAGATCAGCCCAGCAAGCAAATAAGCCAATAGTTTTATTCGCTCTCTTTTTACACAACCTCGCAAATGTCCTGGAACGTCGAATTCGTATATGTAATACGGCAATTAAAATATTAATGCATGTTGATGATATAGTTATTCTACTTATATCACCTCACATTTATTTATTTATATTTTTTTTAAAGGGGCAATCTTATAATCTTATCGAGATTCGCAAATATTTTAGGAGTCATATTAACCCTGAGACACTCTTGGACAAAGCACTTCTCTTGGAAAACATCAATTAGCTCTAAACCATGGAGCCAGCCTTCATACTTCAAGAAACTATCCCTATTGAAGTCAAATTTAATATTTTTAATGTGATATATCATGTAATTCTGTGTTATGGCTGTCAAATGTGAGGATATCTAAGGTTCGTAAAAATAGAAAAGTGCAACTTTCTTTTTTATAAAAAAGTTATTCTCATCGCCATCTGGTTCACCAAACTATATACTGTACGACCAAAATGGATTTAGTTTTGGTGTATACTTAAGCTTCACTACTCTTGTTTTGTGAAAGTTCTGTCTTCTGATACTAGATACTCAAAAATTACAATTTTGGCAGTAATAAAGTGTAATATTTCATGGTTTATACACTGGAAATATTTGTTTGAAAAGTGCCCTTCCTCCTAACCTTAGACAACCTCTGTGACCGGCACAATTATTTTTCAGGTCTTATCAGTAAAATTAAAAATCAACATCACAAAGAATGCCAGCCAAATGTCCAAGCATCTACGCGTCTCTCCCTTTACAAAGAAGTACAGATTTTTCCTACATGAAAACAATTTTGACGGCCTTTGTCTCAATGAATTGCGATGGCTATTAAGCTAAAAGTAGAAGGTCGTGGGTTCGAATGCCGCTCATGGCACTAACTTTTTTATCTCAACCAAGACCTTACATAAAAAGAATAATTAATTTAAATTTATTCTGTATTTTCCCCCCTTTCTGATTGTTTAACCAACAACCTCTGGTAGACGGAACCAAGATCCATGTCTATAAATGTTTGAAATAATGCTTTGTCAATTGTCATAAGTTCAATAAAGCATTATTATTATTATTCCTAAAATGTTCTTAAAAATTTAGATTTAGAGATTCATAAAAATTACTGATTTATTCAATCCATTATATTAGTGGTCTATTGACCAAATTACTTCTTTCAATTAATTAATATTTTTAATTTCAACCAAAACCTTGCATAAAAAGATTAATTACTGATTTATTGGTCTGGAGTCAATATTCTGCGAGAGATCAGACAGAGAAAAAAGACCTCTGCCAAGATTTCAATTGGAAATGTTTTTTTGTTTTACAAAATTCAAAATTATTTTCCTAATTTCTGTGCTGTAGAATTAAATCAATAGATGTGAAAGAAATCAGAGTTGACCATGCAGAATGCCCCTAAAAATTTCGATTTAAGTTTTTTTTAAATTATCGATTTATGTTCAATGGCAAAATCCTGATTTATTGGTTTTGATATGGAGTCAATAATTCTGTGAGAGAAGAGAGACTGACAAAATAAACCTCATCCAGGATTTCAATTTGAAATGTTTCTGTGTTTTACAAAATTCAAAACTAATTTCCCAATTTCTATGTTGCAGAATCGAGTCAATATTTCGGAAAGAAATCAAAATTGATCTCTAGTCTCATTACAAATTGTTCCTAAAAATTTAGATTTAGAGATACATAAAAATTACTGATTTATATTAAACAGCAGAATTAGTGATTTATTGATTTTGGTACAGAGTCAATAGTTCTGTGAGAGATGAGAGACAGAAAATAGACCTCAGCCATGATTTCAATTGGAAATGTTTCTGAGTCAAAGTCAATGCTGTAGAATTGCGTCAATAGTTCTGAAAGTAATCGAAGTTGACACTCTAGCCCCAATTCCAAATGTTTCTAACAATTTAGATTTAAAGATTCTTAAAAATTATTGATTTATCTTAAACAGCAATATTCCTGATTTATGGCTTTCGTATGGAGTCAATAATTCTGTGAGAGATGAGAGACTGAAAAAATATACCTCGGCCATGTTTATAAATTTACTTACTGATTATTGATTGTTTCATCATGATTTTTTTGAGAAATTATTTGTGAGAATAATTGATATTTGGCGTTTGGTATCGACAGTGATCGCTCGGAAGTCATCGTCATCGTCGTGCCAATTGACGTCAATATTGATTTAAAACCGAGCAAGGCCGAAACCTCCGCTGGCCCATTCAAGGACGTCCACAGGAGGAAATCCTTGAGCTTTTCCCCTGGGCATCGGTTTGTGTACATTTGTCGATTCCTGTCATACTAAAACCATTTTCTCAATCGGCCCGATGGCGTTCCAACGCTGACACTCCTCCAGGGCGAGTTTTTCCAGACCCGTTCCAACCCGGACCCTCGTCTAAATGCCATCCATCGCCTGTCTCGTTACCGTTTGAGGACAATTCGTCGAAATAACAATTCGGGAAAATGGAGCGGAACCCACTTCTTTGGGACATCGTCGAACTGGCCACTCACCTCCGCCAGGAGAGGCTTTTCGTCAACTCCGAACACGGATTCCTACAAGAGTTAAACGATAAAGTAAATACTTTCATTAAAAACAAAATCTCTTTTAAATTTATTTTCAAAAAACCTTTACTCAAATGGAACTTATTCTAAAACAAATTTGACTTTTAAGTCAATTTTTTTTGCCCCTTTCCACATTAAAAGAAATTAATATGTCTCTAGCTCACTAATTGACTGTAGTCACTAATTGACTTACAAGGTCATGCATGACAGCTGTAGTATGTAAATATTGACCAGTTTGCATCATTATTAAATTTCTGCCTGTTTGTTAAAAAAAAAACATTAGAAGTCAATCAGACTATGTAAAAAAATACATAAAAGGAAAAATCATATAAACTCCATTCCAGACAAATAAATTTTTTGGTAAATTACGAACATTAAAGAAGAATCAGTTATTATTGATCAATTGACTTGTACATTATAATGAAAAGATAATCAATAAATAGTTACATTTCATCTGTAACCTGTGGGATGATGAACATATAATTTGGTCCTTAACGATCATCTATTCTTGCTAGGCTGAAAATAATAATTTCAATTATTCTTTTTATGTAAGGTCTTGGTTGAGATGAAAAAGTTAGTGTCACAAGCGGGATTCGAACCCACGACCATCGGCTCAATACGCCGATGTTCTAACCACTTGAGCAATCGTGACTTCGATCCTCTTGGACACCAACTCCCCATCTCAACCTACAACCTTCAGAATTTTCTATTCTATTCCATTTTTCAAATGTGGAGGATTCGATTCTCAGCGAGTTATGAAATGGCCACAGGGAGCTTTTAGTGACATGATACTTCTTTATTTATTAAATATTAATCCATTTATGTTTAGTGGTCTAATTGACCAAATTACTTATTTCAAATAATTATTCTTATAATGTGAGGTCTTGGTTTTGAATTTAGTAAAACTCAGAAACATTTCAAATTGAAATCCTGGATGAGGTCTATTTTCTCTTTGATCTCTCACAGAATTATTGACTCCATACCAAACTCAATAAATCACTAATTCTGCTGTTTAACATAAATTGGTAATTTTTATGAATCTCTAGAGGTCAACTTTGATTTCTTTCAGAACTATTGACTTGATTATATCAATTATTCTCACAAATAATTTCTCAATAAACTCATGATGAAATCAATAATCAGTAAGTAAATTTATAAGCATTGCTGAGGTATATTTTTTCAGTCTCTCATCTCTCACAGAATTATTGACTCCATACCAAAGCCATAAATCAAGGAATATTGCTGTTTAAGATAAATCAATCATTTTTAAGAATCTTTAAATCTAAATTGTTAGGAACATTTGGAATTGGGGCTAGAGTGTCAACTTCGATTACTTTCAGAACTATTGATGCAATTCTACAGCATTGTCTTTGACTCAGAAACATTTCCAATTGAAATCCTGGCTGAGGTCTAATTTCTGTCTCTGATATCTCACAGAACTATTGACTCTGTACCAAAATCAATAAATCACTAATTCTGCTGTTTAATATAAATCAGTAATTTTTATGTATCTCTAAATCTAAATTTTTAGGAACATTTGTAATTGAAGATAGAGGTCAATTTTGATTTCTTTCCGAACTATTGACTCGTTTCTACAACATAGAAATTGGGAAATTAGTTTTGAATTTTGTAAAACACGGAAACATTTCCTATTGAAATCCTGGCTGAGGTCTAATTTCTGTCTCTGATATCTCACAGAATTATTGACCAAAGCTAAGAAATCAAGAATACTCGGTCCTCCATCATCCCATCACCCCTTAAGTCTATTTCTATTATATAACTAACCAAATTGAGAGTCAATGGGGTACTATATATTCCACAATCGGCCTTCTTACACTAAACATATGTGCTAATACATACATTCATTCTCAACACATGCTATAAAAATATTAAAAATATACACACTAAAGCAACCCTATTTCCTTCAAGAATCAGAAAAAGGGACCCAGATTCTCACAACTATGCACAATTCTCATATTGGGTGGTATTCCTAAATGCTCTCTAAATGGAACCAAGGAATGCACTTGTCGATCAGGTGGGGCACTTCAAATAGCCTACAATAATCAAAATCCTCTTTGCCGATCCGACCCACTGATGGTACCTTCTTTTAATCACATTTTTTTTTCATTGTATTTTTTATATCAAAAGATTGCAGGTTAAATCTGGAGGTTAGGTAGTCCTGGCGTTATTTACCAAGTTCTTTAATGGTAGTTTGCCTGTCCAATTAAATGTCCTGCATGGTGTAATTGGAAAATATGTAACTCCCAAGACTATAACAATTTTACACTTATTTTCATTTAGTTCCTGGCCACTCTACAAGTTTATTTAAAGTTTTTTGCATCATGAATGGAAATTAATAAAGACCCTCACATCATCAGCAAACAGGAGTAAATTAACTGAATTAAAGCAAGGATTAATATCGTTAATAAATACCTTGAAATGAGGGCTGAGTGATCCCTGTCCTGACAAGACTGCTACAACAAAATTCTTATTTTAATTTAATGTATTTGTGAAATGTCAAAACACATATACAATAAATAATAAATCTAAAAGGACCTGAACATGACAAATGGTGAATTAGTTATAATTTTGTTTAATATTCACGTATAATGTACTTACATCGGATAAAACTATTTTTCTTCTACTTCTTCACCTGTAATTCTCTGCGTTTTTTCAGTTCTTCAATTTTTCCTCAGAAATGTATTCAACATTTTTCCTCAATTATTGTATGGTTTGTACTAGAAATCTAGACGAAAAAATGTTACTTCTTAAGAGATTGTTTTAATTAAAGAGTTTTGTTCAAGACACAGAAAATTAATATGTATAATGAATATTTTTATATAAAACAAAGCATTCTGTGTTTATTTGTTTTAAACTTACTAACAATCTTGTTTTAAAAAACTATATGTCTTCAAAGTCATATTTTCCAGGCATATAATATCGTACATAGTTTTTCTATTTTTAATATTAGGAAAGGCAGTAATAAAATAATAAGTTATTGAATAATTCTCCATTTAATAAATTAATAACATAATGTAAATACAAATTCACTCACATTTAAAAAGATAATTAGAGGATTTTGGTGGAAAAATACTTTTGATTACTGTAAGTACAGTTGTAGAGATCAGTTATTTATTTGCTCATAACAAATCCGAGCAGTTTAAATGTTTAAGGTTAGCTTTTATTATTAAAACTTTCATGTGTTCAATAGACATCAATAGACATTGTAGATCCAAAATGTTGGTTGAAAATAGAAACAGTAAGAAATAACAAATAAAAGATATTTACAACAAAAATAGCATATACATATAGTCAAACTGTGCAGTCTTCATACATTCCTCAGTGAGTAGCAAACACTTCTTTATGTTTAAAATATGAAAAAAAATACAATTGCCTTTCAATTAGAACTGTTTGCTTCATGTGGCACATAATAGGTTGAATCAAGGTAAAGTTTTGTGAAATCACTGACGATCGACCTGTCTGGTATGCTCTGAGATTTGCCATACATTGCCATCTAAAATAAACAGTTTTTGAGTTTGAATTATTAAATAATTTTTATTAACAATTTTACTCACTTTTCCTTTGACTTCTGATTTTGGATCATTCATGATGATTTTGACAGTGTTTTTAACGTCTTGAACAAAACGGTCCGCGATGCCTTCTGCGACATGCATGTGCGTCACACAAAGATGAACCCTATTTAAAAGAATTGTATTTTTCAGAATTGAAATTATGTTTAATATATTTACCCTGGGGGGAACTGGAGAGGGTTCAGATTCCAGCCTAAATCGTTGAGAATCTCTGAAAGGCGATATATGTGGAAAACCTCCGAGCCGATCGCTATTACCGATGTAATAGGCTTACCGAATATGAATATCTCAGGGATCATTCTAAGTTCCCTTTCAATGTACTTTGTGGTCTCGATTATCTTTCTTGTCGACTTGACATACCCTTCCAGACCAAAGTACATCAAAGTCGCCCAACATGCAGCGATTATACCTAAAATGTTTGATAAATTAAACATACAAATTCGGAACATATTACTAATTAAAAAAATACCTCCAGCTCTGGAGCCGTTAATGGTTGGAGAACCATAAACACCTCCTGGCCAATCAGTTGTAACGCAATATTGATAATGTCTATACTCTGGTTTGGAGTATAGAACAACGGAAGATCCTTTTGGAGCAAAACCATACTAAAATGTTTTCAGTTATTATTTAATTTTATAACTGTATGTTGTGGGTTTTGTGTGTATTTTTAATTGTCATGTGTATTTTAGTTCAGTGCTTGTTTCTGTGCGTACATTTTTTACTGCATTTTTATTTTCATAAGTTGCTTGTTGAATAAATTTGTTTTTGTTTGTTGCTTGTTGTGGGTGTTTGTTTTTGTATTTTTGTTTTTGCTTCTGGTGAGGGAGTGAGTAAGTGAGTGTTGGTGTGTGTGTGTGTGTGTGTGTGTGTGTGTGTGTGTGTGTGTGTGTGTGTGTATGTATTTGTTTGTTACTTTTTGTGAGTAATTTTGTTCATTGCTTGTTTTGTTTGTTTATTGCTATATGATTTTTTATTTTCATATGTTGTTTGCTGTATGCATGCTTATTTTTGAGTTAATATTTGTTTGTTGCTTGTTGAATGCATGTTTGTTTTTGTGAGTATTTCTGTTTGTTGCTTGTTGTGTGTGTGTTCTTGTGTGCATATTTTACTTTTGTTTGTTGTTTGATTTGTGTGTGTTTTGAGTATAAATTTATTTTGTTTGTACATTCTGTTTTTATTTGTTGCTTGTTTTGTGTGTTCATTCATCTGATTTTTTATTTTTGTGTATTCCTTGATGTACGCATGTTTGGTTTTGTGTGTATTTTTTTATATTTATTTATTATTGGGTGTTTTTTAGGGTATTTTTTATCTTGAGTGTAATTATGTTTAATGCTTGTGTGGGTGTTTATTTTTGTCTCCATTTTTATTTTCATAAATTGCTTGTTGTGTAAATTTGTTTTTGTGTGATTTTTCATTTGATGCTCGTTGTATGCATGTTTGTTTTTGTTAATTTCCTGATGAGGGTGTTTATTTTTGTCTGCATTTTTTATTTTCATATGTTGTTTGTTGTATGCACGCTTATTTTTGAGTGAATATTTGTTTGTTGCTTGTTGTATGCATGTTTGTTTTTGTGAGTATTTCTGTTTGTTGCTTGTTGTGTGTGTGTGTGTGTGTGTTATTGCGTGCATATTTCACTTTTGTATGTTGTTTGATTTGTGTGTGTTTTGAGCATATTTTTATTTTGTTTGTACATTCTATTTTTATTTGTTGCTTGTTTTGTGTGTTCATTCATCTGATTTTTTATTTTCGTGTATTCCTTGATGTACGCATGCTTGTTTTTGTGTGTATTTTTTTGTATTTCTTTATTATTGGGTGTTTTTTATGGTATTTTTTTTTTATCTTGAGTGTAATTATGTTTAATGCTTGTTGAGGGTGTTTATTTTTGTCTGCATTTTTTTATATTTTCATATGTTGTTTGTTGTATGTAAGCATATTTTTGTGTGAATTTTTGTTTGTTGCATGTGTGTTTGTTTGTGCGAGTATTTCTGTTTGTTGCTAGTTGTGTGTGTGTTCTTGTGTGCATATTTTACTTTTGTTTGTTGTTTGATTTGTGTGTGTTTTGAGTATATTTTTATTTTGTTTGTACATTCTATTTGTATTTGTTTCTTGTTTTGTGTGAGTCTGTTTTTGGGTGTATTTTTGTTTGTTTTCTGTTGTTTACTATTGTGTGTGTGTTGGGTGTATTTTTATTTTTGTTTGCTGCTTGTTGTTGTGTTTGTTTTAAAAATTAAGCATTTTCTACATGTATATAATGTTGATTATGAATTCAGTACCTTATGAGTATCTGCAGAAATACTAGTTACACCAGGTACTGAAAAGTCAAAAGGTGGTAGCTCAAAACCAGCTTGCGGCATGAATGCTGTTAAAAAACCACCTAAACAGCAATCGACGTGTACAGGAACACCATACCTCCGGCCTAAGGATGCCAAAGCTTCAATATCATCCATAGTTCCATATGGATAATTCGGAACTGACCCTACAATCTATTTTTAAAACATTACATCACAGAAATTATAAAATATTTACGTAATATTACCATGATTGTATTAGAGTTGATAGCTTGTTTTACTTTTTTTATGATAACGCTTGTTGTCAATGGATCTACAGGTATGTAGCAGATTCTAATGCCAAAATAAAAAGCCGCCTTTTCAAAAGCAGGATGCGCAGTACGGGGCAAGATCATTTCTGGATTTGTTATACCGCGTTCTTCCCTTCCATAGTCTCTGAACGCCTTGCAGGCCATGATTATCGACTCCGTACCTCCCGAAGTCATCTGATTTCATTTGATTCAGATATTTTACAAGGCCGAATTTTTTAAGTCGGGTAAATTACCGTTCCGCAGGCTTTACTGCTCCCGTGAAACAGGTCCGTGCTTATGCTGACCACTTCGGATTCCATTTTGTTCACACCGGGGAAAATGTCAGCATGCAGGGGGTTTGTGTACGATGCGAGACCGTATACCTCGGTCAACAGGTTGATCAGCTCGGGCGAAAAATAATATACTGCACCTGATACAAAACCTTTATCCCATCTGTAATGCCCTAGGGAATAATAATAATAATTAAATAAATAACTGTACTTTTAAGAGAAATCAGCTACTACCAAGATCGAGGTTTTTCTTGAGCTCTTCAATGATCTCCTCTTTCGACTTGCCCTTGACTTGGAGCACCCTGTTGTAATTTGTGTGCCCCATCCTTTCCTTGACGTCTTTCTCGAAATCCGATGAGATCTTACTCAATTCCTTGTTTATTTTGTTTGCGACTGCAGGGATCTTGCGGGCCATTCTGAAGAAAAACTTCTTCCCCCTGCTTACAATGCCTAACAGAAAGTTATTTATACTAGTTTTATGCTTTAAGTCAACTGTTAATCTGTATACCTAGTTATTATCGAAAATAAACAAATAAATAGATAGATAGATATAATGATTCAGGGTATGGTATACTGCGCCCTTTAAGAGCTATTGTATCCCCTGTGCTCTGCCTAAAGCACATCGGTGAGTCCTATTTCATCAAGAAACTTGATTAATAGGCCCGGTTTCAGTGGTTGTAGTTCTTCTATGGTCACATTGTACATCCCAAAACACTTCCTCCTGTGGGCTAGTGTAGCTCCGCAGTTTGTTAGTAAGTGTGTTGGTGTCTCTTCTGCTTCCTTGCAGAATCTACATGTGCCGTCTTGGATTATTCCAATTTTCTTTAGATGTCCATTTAATCTACAGTGTCCTGTCAGGAATCCTGTTAGGATTCGCAGTCTGTTCCTGCTTCCTTTGACACATTCTGTGATTTCTTTCTTGCCAAAGTTGGTTAGAAGATTCTTGGATTGTCTATGTCCAATAAGTGAATTCCAAAGTTCGCTCATTTTCTTTTTGTCCTTCTGTCTGAGGTATTCGTTAATAGTGTGTGTTCCTATTCCACAGAAGGGTTCAGGTCCTATTAGCGGTGTGGCAGCCCCTTTTCTTGCCAGGGTGTCCGCTTTCTCGTTGCCTTCTACTCCCATGTGTCCTGGGACCCAGCAGAGGCTGACTTTATTCTGCGAGCCTAATGTATTTAATTTGGTTTTGCAGTTCAGCACCATCCTTGAACTAATGGTATTTGAGCTTAGTGCTTTGATGGCTGCTTGGCTATCTGACATGATAGCTATATCCTTGTTTTTGTATCCTTTATTTAGATTGAATTGGATACATCTTTCAATTGCATCAATTTCAGCTTGGAAGATACTGGTGTGCTTTCCCATGGGTTCTGAGTATTTGGTTCCGGGTCCGAACACTCCTGCCCCCGTACCTTCCTGTGTTCTAGATCCATCTGTGTACCAAAGGATGGTGCTATTTTTGAAAACAAATAAATACAACTGTTTGATTTTTGTCTTTGAGTTTATACAGAGGGTTTCTATTTTCAATACAATCTTTGCAAAATTTTATATTCAACTTAAAACACTGAATAAAATATGGTTGCTTCTGATGCAGGCATCTAGCTATTCTCATGAAGCGTTCTGCTGACTGTTTTAGAGCTTACCCTTACATTACGGACTGTTTGGAGTTGACAACCTATCATGGAAGCCGTTAAATGACGGTTCTGTACTGTGGTAAGAGCAATAAATTATCTTTAGCTGTCGTATATCATGATCAAACACCACAATCGATTGAGACTTCCAGTCGGCCTTAAACCACTACAGACCATCGTGAATGGCAGCAAACATGTCTACATGAATGCATAAGGAATATTATTAGAAATTCCATGTGCAGTAACTGTTTTAAGTTATATTAGGTCTATGAAAAGTACGTTCACAGAGTGTCAATTCAACAAGCAGTTTATGTTGCTGTAAGAAATGGTCTATTTTATACGTTAAGTACCAAGATGGTTGAACCATATACATCTGAGTCATGAGATCAGCAGAATCATACAATTCATCCTTGTCAGTGTATGTCAGTTCATTGGTCGTTAATTCTGCGTTGACAACTTCCTTGGAGCATCAGGCAGTTCTGAAGAAGTTTCCAGACGGGACTTAATGAAATTATCTTTATCTTTTTACTTACTCTCAGGCTGGAAGACGATGTTCCAGACCCAGACTCCGGCGAGAACGGATGTCGCCGTGATAGCTGCCACCTGCCAAGGTTCACGACCCGCGAATCTTGTATTTATGCACTCCTTGATTGCCCTAGGGCCAAGGCTCACCTGGAACTTCATAGCTAAAGCAAAAATAACAATCAACAACTCCGGTTCTACCATGAACTAGTCTTTGTCTGAGGAGTCGAGGTAGATTAACCGAGTGCATCTGATAATCTTATCAGTACTGATAAGAATAACATTTCAAGAGTATATCAAGGCCTGTAATCCAAACTTATTAATATTATAGACGGTTGTTTTTTTTTATCCCGAGGTGATTTTTTTCCTCTGTTCAAATAATTTATATCGAGTGTAATTTCAATTAAAAAAAATTAATCAAAATATTTCAAAAAAATTGATAAGATAAGCGTTATCAACTCCTGGAGGTTTCATACCTTCTAACCCTCCTGTTGTATGTACAAAAACAATGGGATTTTAATTATCTTGATTTTGTTGTTTTTAAAATGGGGAACGGAAAAAGCCAGCCGGCAGGGCTGGAAATCGACGAAAAACCGTTCCTGACGGGCAACTTCTACTCACTACACAACGCGACCTATGGCCAGCCGGAGAGAAGGGTCACAGTGTTCGAAGGCATACTCACAAACAAGGCGAAACACTCAGCCGTGGACAGGTTCGCCAAGGTGATAAATTTATCCAATAGTGTTAAAAAAAATCAATAATAAAGATTTAAACATAAAAAGTAGCTACTTTTGACTTGAGCTTGCAGTCTCATGTCTTGAACCGCTCGCATGTTGACCGTTGTTGGTTGTCAGTTAAGTGCACAGTGAGAATCTCAAGGTGTTTTGGTCTCACTGCACATATATTTACACACAAACCACAATGTACAATTCTATATAAAACACCCCGGATTCCCTTAAGAAGTACAGGAGGAAAGGAACAGGGGAGCCAACAATTGGCGCAAACCCAAGTACCATCTTTATGCCAGGGGTCATGCCTAGTCGCTACTTGGAATTTTGGATCATTGATAAGGATTCCCATGTTTATATTTACAATAACTACTTACTCCATTATTATATTATAATTGATATAAGAAAAGAATAACTACAAACAAGATAGTAATTTTAAAACTTGACAAAAAATTAGAAATAAGACCTCAGTCTTGTTCACCCAGACACCAAAGTTGTGCTCATATTCGTATTCATTTTCATCCTTAAGTACATCCACTGCTATTTACACATTCATAATATTACAATCCTGCATACTTGATATTCCTCTATAACCTGTTACACATATTGTACAACTAACGATGGGGTACTCGATAGTCCTCCAAGGACCCACTCGCGTGAAACATTCATGGTAATAAATACATTAAATTTTAACACAAACTAGGTATACACAGCTATTAGTACTATAGACAGTAGAATAACCCTGTTTCGGGGTGTCGGTAGCCGCAACGGTTTAGACGTTGAAACGGCACTCATCACTGAAAGGTAAAGGTCCTGGGTTCGAATGTAGGGCCGCTGGATTCAAAATTGTAATTCGCTGTAATTACAAAATCAAATTGTAATAATTCGCTGGGGATCCAGCGGCCCTGCATTCGAGCCTGACATACTTACAAATGGGCTTTTAAAAAAAAAAAAAAAAAAAAAAAAAAAACCGGCGCCCTGAGGGTTGATATGACCTCTGCTGTTGCAAACCGTCGTAAATAACCCTGTTTCCTCCAAGAACCAGAAAAAGGGACCCAAATACTCACTGCTGAGCTCAAGCACAATTTTTTAAATTAATTAATTAATTTTAACAAGGATATTTCATCTACAAGGTTATTGAACGTTTGGGATGCTGGTTTTTTTGAAAAAAAAAAAAAAAATTGGCCGTACAATTCCAAAACTGTTGTGGCACGTTAAACTGACACATTATCTCTGGTTTCCAATCAAGAATGTAAGAATTTTTTGATATGTGTTGTTTTTTAATTAGAGGTTGTAATTTATTATTGTTCAGGAGAGAAGATTTATCATCAGTATCGATGAATTGCAATTGTTGTTAAAAATAGGAATAGTGTAGTAATATATTTTTGGTTTTAGAATATCATGGTACACAGACACCCGAACATCCTGAAATACGTGGCGTCTTGGAGTGTAGGCGATAAATTCCACCTGGCCACCGAGGAGGTGAAGCCTTTGCAGCACGTAATCGACGAACAGACGCCGTTGCAGATCTGTGTCGGCCTGCACAGCGTACTCAAGGCGATTCAATTCCTACATGAAAAGGTGATTGCTCTCGGGAAAAAGCAAAGTTTAAATTTATTTTAAAAAAAATATATACATATTTGCAGGCCTGCTCGTCGCACAATAATATTTCACAGTCGGCCATTTATGTCACACCAGACGGACAGTGGAGGCTTGGAGGAATGGAGTATTTGTGCAGGTATAGTTTTTATATTTAAAAAAAAGTTCTAATAGTATTTATGTATTTTTTTTAATTTTTTGATTTTTATATTTAAGGTTTACCGAATTAAATTATAAATTTTTAAATGAGGCTAAAGAAGGGAGATACGACAGTGGTATTTACCCAGGAGGGACAAAAGTGCCTAATCCCCCTTCGGTAATTGACAGGTACGCATTTGGCGTACTCGTGGAAGAAGTCCTTACATCAAGAATATACGGTAATTTTTAGTATAAAATAATTTTTAAATTAAGAGAACAATTATACCTTTTTTGCTAGTAATAGATTATAGTTGACGACTGGTTTTCTTGTTACTATCTTTTCCCATTAGATTTTAGATAAAATTGAACAAAGGCTGTTGTTATGTAATTATTACTATGTCAACAAATGAAATATGAATTAAGAATGGGAAAGGTTCAACAAAACTTTTTGTTGAAACAACCGACAATTTTTGAATGGCTGATTATTTAGATATCGTGAGATGAGGTCTGGTGTGATGTGAGCTTAGAAAAATATTTTCTTTATCAAATTCACTAGTTTCATGGTCCGCTTGACCAATTAATATTTTGCAATTAATTACGGTTTTTAGTTGAGATAAAAAAAGTCAATGGCACGAGCGGGATTCGAACTCATGATCTTTGGCTAGATACGCCGCTGCTCTACCACTTGAGCTCTCGTGACTTCGATCCACTCAGACACTAACTTCCCATCTCAACCCCACATTTTTTTAATTTTCCCTCCTTTTTGCCATTTTTAAGTCACGATAGCTCAAGTGGTAGAGTAGTGGTGTATCTAGCCAAAGGTCGTGGGTTCGAATCCTGCTCGTGATGCTGACTTTTTTTTAATCTCAACTAAAAACTTTATTTAATTTTCATTATCGTTCCCAGTTTCAATCTTTACTGAAATCATCTTCAGGGCCTGGGATTTATAAACAATGTTTATAATATTAATTAACTATTCACATAAAAAAAATTATATAATAAAGTGACTTTTAAAAAGGCTGTTATAAATCAATATTTTTTATTTAAACAAAAACAATAAATGTTCGTGGTTTATTTTTTGGACAAGTATTTGTGAAGCTTTTGTACCAGGCTTGTGACTATCTGTAAAAGTAGGGTTATTACGAATAAAAGGACTATGACTGCGATCGCGGTCGACTTGCAGCAGTCCTGTTCCCCTTTTGCCAGCAAGAAAACTATAAAAGATGCCAGCGATAGGCAGCACGTGGCTTTGAAGCCGGGAAATATCGACTCCTTCTGAGAATGCTGAGTCTGCTCCGGGTAGTACGAGACGAACGTGGTTTCGTGGTCGATAGGTGTCATTTCACGGCTCGGGGTGTTCCTGATCTGAACCGGGTTGACGTTTTTCTGCCTCGGCCCGGCCTCCTCGGCATTGTCTAACTTGACACACGACCTTTTGGTCCTCCTGACAGGTGGCCTTCTCTCACTCGGTTCTCCCATGGGTATACCTTGTATTATATCGTTTAAAAACCTCAAGGAAATTTTATTTTAATCATCTGTCATTGTTAATTTATGGGAAAAAAATCACATGAACTTTTTATTACCATTTTCAGGATTACCATGTGTGTTATTTATTCAATGCCTGATTAAAATAAATAAAATTAAATGCTAAGATAGAAAAGCTTATCTTAATCATAATGTCTGGGGCAATATTACTTATAATGTACAGAAATAATTCATTTCCTTTGCCTACAAGATATTTTGGTTCACAAGACCAAAAATCAACAATTGTTTTTTTGGACAAAATGCATTTGTTAGAAGTACAGGAAGACTGTAAGATAATTTCCTATAAAATATTAACAAATAAATTTTTTAGGGATAAATGGTATAAATTACAATATTTTAGAATATTATTGAATATATGTAGAACTTCAGATCATTGTTTATCATTATTGATGATAAAAAATTGGGTACCCCAGAATCCAGATCCTCACTCATGACAAACTCGCCCCCATTTTTCTGAACTGACCCCTGACCCTGTAAATACAGAACGCTTTTAGTTCTTCCTTATCCTCAAACCTATGGAATTCCCTTCCTTTCTCTATCAAGTCCCACGCCTTTCCAGTTAGAAGAAATCTCTTTAATTTTTTCTTTACAATTTGATCACGTATATGCCGGATTCTCTGATAGTCATACGAGGTGAAGGCAAAGCATGTTTGGAACTGCATAGAAGCCCTGGAGTCAGCAATATTAATGACCTGACACTGGTATTACATTTTTTTCCTTCTTCTTGGGAAAAAAAATTAATAAAGCTTAAATAGTGGCGGGATGAACCGAGAAGAGAAACGCGAGAAGCAGAAAGCAATTCGCGGCCTGCAAGATCCTGATCGGGAGAGCACTGGGTCCGAGATTGAAAAAAAAAAAAAAAAAAAAAAAAAAAAAAAAAAAAGTAAGTAGAGTCAGTTCGATATAGACGTTCCGAGGAAGAGGTGGACTCCGCGAGGAAAGAAAATATTCTTTAAAAAAGTGTATGTGTTTGTGTGGCTTGTGATCCTAGTCGTGCTGATCGAAGAGTTCCTACGAAGAGAAAGTGAAGAGTGATCCCGTGAGTTGGTTCATTTCCAATTTCTTGTCAGGCCTGATAATTCCGGACTAGAAACATCTAAACAGCTATAAGTTTCGGCCTTTTGTTAGCTTTTAATTACAAAGAATTTGTCTATGTACTTGTAAATAGAATAATTGTGATTAGCATTCATTTTTTTTAATCGTAGTTTTGAACTCTAACTAAGCTAAATACCTTAAGATATCTTGCTTGTGTTAACGAATTAACTCGGATAGAAGAACTTCATCATTTAGCTCCCATCATAACCCTGGGTGGAAGCACCATCAGAAAGAAGAGAGCCAGAAGCGCTACATCGGTCGTCTGGGGTCTGACACGGAAACCATATCTGTACTTCCTTTTCCCTTTCTTTCTATTGTTCTACTCTTCTTTTCCTTTTTTTCCCCCTGGTTTCGGTATTTTTCCTTCTCCAAAAATACCGTGGCGCTCAACATAACACCTTTAAATAAACTTTCACCTCCTCACCGACCATCACTTGTCTCTCCCTTCAACATGTTCCCCCCCTTCTCAACTGAGCTACTGCCAACGTACTTGCAGCCACAGTAAGGAAGCTGTAACACTGGCATGGTTCCCTGGGCATTCAGGGCATGGAGGCAACGAAACGTTTGACGTTTGCCAAAGAGGTATCCAACACGGACTCCCTAGGTCTTGAATGCTACTGTGGCTTAGCATCCTGTGTCAAAAGAGGATACATCTTAAAATGGATCCTTAATGAGTCCAAAACCTGGTGGAACAATACTACATGAGGCATGTTTAGGATTCATACAAGGGCCATATGCAAAACATGAAGGAATAACTAACGAAGGCAACTACAACCGAATCAGAATTCTGGTCAGATTCCTGACAGGGCACTGCCATCTAAGAAAGCACATGCACTGGATAGTACAAACAGAAAAAACACTGCAGATACTGGCAGGAAGAAGACACCGCTAAATATTTGTGAAGATCTATCTAGGTGCAGGTTCTTGCAACTATGACAGGAAAAGCCACAAGCAAGATCCTACACTAAGGAGCTGCTTGCATGGAGGCTGATTAACAACTTGAAGCTGGCCAGTGAGTTATAAAAAAACAGGGGAGCACAATAGATCTTCTCAAGTCGAGGTGCAGAAGGCCTTGTGGCCTCTCTTTTATCCCTTTACTTATCTCTTATAAACCTTTTTTTTCCTCATCCATCATTCTTTGTACCGTTTGTATATTTCCAAAGTTTAAATTCCATTTTAGACAGCGTACCAGGCTCATCGGACTTTCTACAATTGGCGAAATGTCAGCTGCAGTCGCCCATACCAGAAAATTGCCCTTCGCTTGAAACCCTGATGAAACACCCGTTTTTCAACCACGAGTTCATCGCGATACACAATTTCCTCATCGAGCTGCCGTTGAAGACAGAAGTTGAAAAACAACTTTTTTTTAGGTAAATTTTAAGAATTTTGGACTGTTTAAATATTTAAAAAATAAAATTAAATAATTATTGTAGGGAGTTGACGTTGAAATTGGGTGAATTCAGTGAAGAAGTAGTCGCTGGACAGTTAGGAGCGCTGTTACTATCGAGGATAGTTCTTCTTGACTCGACAGCGCAGAAGTTCCTTTTGTCACAAATTTTAATTCCAAAATTAAGTAAGTCAGACAGAAAAAAAAAAAAAAAAAAAAAATCACGGAATAAAATTTGTTCGAATTTCAGGCGGAGACTCTGCGAATTTATTTTCGGAGAATGTATTCAAGAAGTACATCGTGCCAAAGTTAATGTCAATATTTTGCGTGAGGGATATTCAAGTCCGCCTCACGCTTTTATCTCATTTCAAATCGTTTTGTTCTATGTTCACTCCCATCCAGCTCCACACGCATATTTTGCCAGAGGTAGCGGATTTAAAAAATAATATTTGTGTCTCTCTCTCTGTGTCGTTTATTTTTCCATTCTTTATATACCAATTGTTCAATTAGCTTTTAGTCGGTATAAAAGATACGAACGACGACCTTGTATCAGCAACGCTCAGAGCCCTTTCAGATCTCGTACCAATACTTGGCGCCGCAACCGTTATCGGTGGAAAGAGGGCGAGGCACTTTTCAGACGGCCGTCCAAAAGTGAGAAAACTTTTTTTTCCAATAAAAAATTGTTTTACAATATTAACTGAATTTTTTTTAGGTTCATCCTTTAAAGGGTATCAAGAAGAAGACCGTTCGGAGCACCGAGGTTGAAAATTCAGGTTGGTCCTAGTCGAAAAATTTCCGCCTTAATAAACAAATACAATTTATAAATATTCATAAATTAAATTTTTTTTATTGTGTACTGAAACTAAATTGATAAAATAGTGAAAAAATTGACCAATTGAAATATAGAATTTTTTCTGTGCCTGTGCATCGTGATCTTAACAGTAGAAATCTTTGTACTTGACTATGTATATCATAGTATGTTAAATAAAAATATTTTAATATGTTCTAATCTTTTGGGGCGTCAGTAGCCACAATGATTTAGGCGGTGATTCGGCGCTAATCACTGTAAGATAAAGGTCCCAGGTTCGAATCCAGGGGTCTTGCATTCAAACCCGACATACAAATGGGCCTTTTTATTTTATTCTCCCAAAAACACCAGTGCCCCGAGGGTTCATATAATCTCGTAAAAAAAATTTTTTTGTTCAAACTCAACGATTTAACATCAAGCCAAACAACTATTTAATCGTAGACGATTAAACTTAAATCACTGTAAATTGTAATTGATCATTGATGATCATACTGTATGAAGTTAATGTTGGTCTCTGTACCACTTCAACTGTTGTCTAAGTTTAAATTTTAGTTTGCTCATTTCTGACCATTTTGATCTGCCTGGTCTCACTTCGTTTGTAATTTTGGCTATTGGTCCTGTGGATTTTGTACAAATAATATTAAACACACACCAACGATTGAAAAAAGAGGCAAAAATTATCAAACAAGTTTACTTTCAAGGAGAAATTTTTTTTATAAGCAATTTTTTATAAACAAATCTTTCATGGTAAATGTTTATATTTTTATTTCTCTTTTTGTAATTTTTCCAGGTGAAGATATGTTTTTATGCGAAAGGCCTTCTCCGGATGGGGGAGAAGCGCCTTCTTCTCAGCCACTCTCTGAGGATGAAGTCGAGCAGTGGGATTCTTGGGATCCATCTCCTGTTCTCGAACCCGTAAAATTACCTTTATTAAAAAGAATTTACTATTTTTTTTCTTTAAATTTGATTTTTCTGTTGTTTTACCTAGGTTGAAATTGTACCGACAATAGAAATAGAGATAATACCCGAGACGGTACAGTTGAAAACGCCAGATTTGCCAAGCGAAAAGGAAAAGGATGACGGGGAAGTCAAAAAGCGACCTTCTTTGCAACAAGAAGAAGTTGATTTCTTCCACGACATGGTGCCCGTCATATCTAAAACTCAGATCATACAGATCACGGAAGTTCAGCCAGAAGCCGAGCCGGAAAAGACGAACAGGCTTTCTTACGTGGCAGACGAGGAGTGTACTGGCGAAGGATGGGGGGATGACGGCCTCGAATGGGCGGAAGTAAGCGACCCGTCTGATGCCGAAGCCAAACCCGATTCATAAACATCTCAACTAATTGTACATAATTTCAAGGAAAAACATTTTTATTTACAAAATATTGCATTAAATTAAAAGAAAAAACAAATTGTCTTAATGAATGCAATTATATAAGAAATGCGACCCTGTGATAATCATCCAAAAACTTTCATTAACGCTATTAAAATACACCTGAGCGTTCTTTGGGTCCAGAAATTTACTGTTTGAAACTGTGATTTTATCATTTCAATAATTACAAAAAATAACAAGAACACTTTTTAAACCCTTAAGATTAAAAAGCAATATAATTAACAAAAAAAAAGTCTGTAAAATATTTATTATCAAAAACCTATGGTTATGCATTTAAATTTAGTTTAAAACAAAAACAAAGAATTAGTTTAGTTTCTTTCAAATCAGCGTCTGTATGCTGATCTGTAAACACCATAAACAATCTGTGATTAGGCATATGGCAAAAGAAAAAAAAACCTAAATCAATTTATCTTTTTTTTTTGTTTATTCTACTAAGGTTAAATGAGTGATACGTTGTTGGAAAGTGAAGTATGCTGTGATCGCGTATGTGGTACAAGGTGCATTCCATTTTTTTTAAAAGTTATTTCATAAACAGCAGTGTTTAAAATCCTATTTTGCATTTAAAAAATAGGTTTAAAGTAAATGTTTTTAGTGTTTGTATAATATTTATACCATAACATCAGTTTGTTCGCAAAAGTTGATCAAGTGGCAATATTATTTTTTGCTCAACTCTGAACATTTAATTTAAATATATAAAGAATTTTATTGTAAATTTATTCTGGTGAAATATAGTTAATTAATAATAAAAAATAAAAAATAATTTTGATCGTTGTACTTGTATATCCTGAAATAGCTGAAGAATTATTACTATTTATTTTTATGATTTAATGACTGTATTTTTTACTTGACAGACTGACTCACTGAAGATGGCGAAATTCCTAAAAGCATCTGACTAATCTAGAAAGCATAGAAGGATCAAAACAGGTTAACCCCCCTGCTGGAGATCTCTTGAATTATTAATAATTATCAAATTGTTTTTAATAAAAATTTAAACTTTGTTTTGAAAAAAAAAAAAATTTTAGAAAATAAAAATTTATTTTGTAAAAAAAGTATTTACATATTTACAATTATCTTAACATACAGAGTTTAAGATTTTTTTATTAGGAAAGACATGAACAGCCATGTCGTTGAAAACGTCCAAAAATTGAAATGTGTTTTTGACTTCTATGATTTCTGCATGTTCAAATGAATTGACTAGGTACGGGAATTCATTTTTCAAGGAGCGAGACGGTGTTGATTCGACTATTGACGCCAGGTTATTACCTGCGATGATGCAGTTGGCCAGGCTCTCGCCCCAGTTGGCGAGGAGGATGTTGTTGAACAGCTCGCGAGGGCAGTGCGGCAAGAAGAACAGCGTAGACTTCGTTGCTTTTCTCTTTCCCATTTCATTCCTCGGTATAAGTTCGGACCTCATCTCCTCCAGGATTTTCTTTTCAGGCTCCGTAAACACGGGGTCGAATACGAGGAGGGGGCAAGCGTAAAACTCGCTCAGCTCTACGGCCATGGCGTACTGGTAACGGGCGTTGGGTGATTTTGAAAAGTTTCCGAGACCATAGCAGACGATCTCTTCCACCTTCGGCGAGTCAAGATTGACAAGGCCTTCATCAATCGACTTGACAAAACTGAAAAACTGAAGAGAATCCACCATCATGCCTTTTACTTCCAAAAACTTCCTAGATTGACAAAATATAAAAACTTTTTGATTATTTAGTTCTAAAAAAAAAAAAAATCAAGCATCAAGAATTCTGTTTTGTTTTAAAGTTGAATCCGCAAAACTTATCGGTGGTGGTGTGAGAGTTGAACCGACACTGAGTCCGTTTATTGAAAGTTATGTTAGTCAAATGTGTTTCGGCTTTGTGCCCATCAGTGAGGAAGTTCCTCACACGACAAAACCAAAGGGTGATACCAGTCCCAGAACCGGTCCAACATATTTTAACAAAATATTACAAAAACATGCCACTAAACCTTTTATGCATCTGACATGATTTTATCAATGAATAATTACTTTTTGACTCGTTCCAGGTACAAAGGGGATTCTTCATCAAACTGTTCATAATTCTTCTTTTTCTTTTTCTTCACCAGTTTAAAACCGTCCTCCTCCATTTCACACCACTGAGATCTTCCTGCGACCATGGTTTAATTAATATTTGTTAAATTTGAAAGATTATTTATTTACTTAAATTACTACTTGTTAGGATGTTTTGAGTTGAAGACTCCCTAAGTTTACTGATAACGTCCATTAATCGAAACTTTATCAGTTGAAAATCGATTATTTTGTAACCTGCCTTTTTGACACGTGCTTTTAACATAAACAGTCTGAAGCTGATGGTGGTTGATTTTAATTACTTTTTAACTAAATATGACGACCTGCGATCTCAACGTCAACTTTATTGTACCCGAGAAAAAGCCCAAGGTAATCCTGAAAAGCCGAGTACTTAATTAAAATGATACCCTTTTTTTTTAACAGGCCAAAGCAATAAAATCACTTCTGCTTTGAACATTGCATTGGCTTTAAAAAAGAGCTTGGACTTTGATTTAGTGTGTTATTAGATTTTTCAACTTTGAAATTATTTAAGGTGCACAAAAGAATTGACTCAGCATTACAACCTGCTTCAAATCTCCAGTCGTTTCATAAGAATTTGCAGAAGAATGACTTCCCTAAGAAGGGTAAATTTTTCAAGCCGAATAAAGACGATGTGGATAGCAATAAAGGCAAAACTTCTTCGCTTTTCCACCACAACCCTGAAATACCGGATGCGACGGATTTTGACGTCGTCCCGATTGAGGAGCCGCTCTTTTCCCAAAACACATTCAAAAGCCTTGGCGTCCTTCATCCCCATCTTGTGAGTCGATCGATTTAAATTTAAACCTGTCCCAATGATAAATTGATTTTTAAATTTCAGGTAGCGAATCTGGAACAGTTATTTCAGATTACGAAGATGACGATAGTTCAACAGCTTACGATTCCGCCGTTGCTACAAGGACAAGACGCCCTTGTGAGATCGCAGACCGGAAGCGGGAAAACTCTAGCGTACGCTGTACCGATAATGCAGATGCTTCAGTCAATTACGCCAAAAATAGCCAGGAATGATGGTGTAAAAGCTTTGATTATTCTGCCAACACGAGAACTCGCACTGCAAACTTATGAATGTTTTTTAAAACTCTGTCGTGTAAATTTTAACCCAATAATTAAAAATTGTTATATTTTTGTATTTTATTTATTTATTTATTTATTTTTTTTTTAAAGGCATTTACTTGGATAGTCCCTGGTATAATAGTGGGCGGTGAGAAGAAAAAATCAGAGAAGGCTAGACTGAGGAAAGGCATAAATGTGCTAGTCGGAACGCCTGGTAGAATACTCGATCACGCCCAGCACACGCAGGTTTTATTGTTGCACAAACTTGACTGGCTTATTCTCGACGAGGCTGACAAGCTTCTTGACCTTGGCTACGAAAGAGATATCGGAAGGTGATATCCCTCTTAAAAAAATAATTTTATATTATAATTTATATTTTGTATTTGACAGCCTGGTCTCGATGATAAAAGACCAGAGGGATCGTTCAGATGAGGATGTCGGAAAGAAGCAGACGGTGTTGCTTTCAGCGACTCTTGGCCCGGGAGTCGAACGATTAGCTGGTCTTACTCTCAATAAACCTTTAAAAATTGATGCAAGTCAAAATGACATGCCTGAAAATGATGCTTTGGTGATTCCACACCAACTGTCTCAGAAATATGTTGTCACACCTGCTAAATTACGTTTGGTGACATTGGCTTCTTTTATTGTAACAATATGCGAGGTAAAATTTTTTTTCCTTTTTTAAACAGTGCAATTTTATTTAAAAAAAAAATTATTTACAGGTTGAAGGGAAAAGTAAGGTGTTAATATTTATGGCTACACAAGATATGGTTGATTATTACACAGATTTAATACCTTCTGTAATCACTTCAAATGTCGTTTATTTCAAACTACACGGCAACATGACTCAGACAGACAGGGTCGAGGTTTTTAATAAGTTCAGACAATCTGATTCCGGTGTTCTCCTCTGCACTGTACGTTTCTTTTTCAATTTTTAAAACTTTGATTTAAAAAAAAAAAAAATGCGCAGGATGTTGGTGCGAGAGGCTTGGATTTACCACAGGTCGATTGGATCGTACAGTTTACCGCTCCTATAGAACCGAACAAGTATGTACACAGGGTCGGGAGGACGGCTAGGGTCGGCACTTCAGGATCGTCCTTGCTCTTCCTCATCCCGTCCGAGCTACCTTTCCTTCAGTTTCTTCAGGAGAAGAGGATCAAACTCGAGGAGGTGAACATGGAGAATTACTTGAAGAATCTACTTAAAATAAAACTTGAATCAAAAGATGGCCAAGTAAGTTTTTACTACCATTTTTTAAAATTTATTATTTTTTTTTTTTTAACTTACACCAGGAAAGCCACTGTGAGAGAAAAATTAAAAATATGGACACAAACGTAAAATTTAAGATGCTCATGAAATACTCACAAATACTTCATCATAAATAAAAGATATTTTCTGTATTTTTGTTTGTAAAATTTAATTTTTCTCTTTTTTTTTCAAGAGTTATGGTTCTGGTGTTGAAGGCGCAGCGACTATGTTGCAGCACAATTTTGAACATGCCGTTCTAAACGAGAAAGGACTGCACTCCCTTGCTTGTAAAGGTAAAAATCTTGTAATTTTAATGATAGTCGTCTGTATTTGGCTTTTTGATATAAATGAAATTGATTTACCGTATGATTTTTTCAGCGTACAGGTCTTGGGTCAGATTTTATGCATCATACCCCAACGAATCAAGGGTGGCGTTTAATTTCAAGAGCCTCCACCTTGGACACCACGCGAAATGTTTTGCCCTTCGAGACACACCTTCGGTGATTGGGGGCATCGGCAAACCAAATTTCAAGCTGAAAAACCGGTCAGTTAATATTTTACATTATAATTTAAAAAAAAATACATTTTTTGAGATACCTTATCTTACCCAAGCTTTTCAAAATGATCGTATCATAGCTTTTATAAACTCTTTGATTGACATTACGATCGGTCCAGAAAGGGTTTAAAAAAAAAAAAAAAAAAAAAAAAATGAGGCTATTTCTCAAAAGTATGGATGTGTAACAGAAGGCGAGGATAGTCAGGGGGGAGTGTTACTAACACTATAATGACACTGTCAGACATTGTCTGCTATGATATTATATTATCCCCTTGGAAAGGTGTGAAAGCTTAAAACGTTTCACCTTGGCTTCTTCAATCGATTGATTTTTCTTTTTTAAAAAGTTAAAAAAGAAAAAATGTAGATCTAAAAATGTTTAAAATGGATAAGATAGTTTCTCCGTAACAAAGCCCTTTGAGTTTTTAACTGTACCTCTTCTATTATTGTAATAAGTACCACTTGTTTTTAGATGAGATGAACAATTAATGAAGTGTACTTAAGTATATCGGTTGTACAAGACATAAATTTTGATAAATTTAATTTATCCCTTATTGATTTGTAAAATATCAACTACAAATTTTAACATTAGCATTAATTTACATAAATTTATATATGAACTATAAAAATCTTCCTTTCTCGTTCTCTCTCTCTCTCTCTCTCTCTCTCTCTCTCTCTCTCTCTCTACTCATTCNTCCTCTCCCTCTCTCTCCCTCCCTCCCACCCTCTCTCTCTTACTCTCTCCCCCTCCAACTCCACTCCCTTTTTTTTTCTTAATCTCTTTATATCTCTCTCACTTGTTTTTTGTTTCTTGTTTTTATCTATATCTATTCTTTCTCCCTTTATCACTTTCTTTCCCTCTCAAACCCAATCTCACTCTATCTTCATCTCTCTCTCTCTCTCTCTCTCTCTCTCTCTCTCTCTCTCTCTCTTTCTTTCTTTCTTTCTTTCTTTCTTTCTTGACCTTTCTTCTTCACTCCATCCTTTAACTTTAACTTTTAGAAAATACACACACACAAAAACATCTCGGCTTTTTCATACATTAAAAAAAATTACTCTCGTTTTGTGGGTCATGTAGGCAAACGGGCAACTAGAAGGCCGATAAATTCGCCAAGGAAAGTTCGATCAGGACACCCATCGGCCCTGGACCCTTTTATGGCATACCCAATAGCCAAAACGTCAAAAAGGCAATGGGTAATAAAAATAAGACCTCAGTTCAATGTGATTGTGAAAAAGTTCATCAAAGGACAAATACTACTCCTGTTGGACTGGAATGATAGTAGGATTACAGATCCTAGAAGCTAAGACTCGTAGCAATAGAAAACAAGTGCTAGATATAGCCAGGAAGGAGAAGAAACGGTGGGATATTTTCTTTTTTGGTACACAGTTCCGTAATGTTCTAATACTCTTGAATAGGAAAAGCCAAGGCCTGGAAGAAAGCTTTGGGATGTGAGAAAAATCTTTTACGAAGAGCTCTAGACAATGATGATGGCATTAATATTGGCCGCGGTGCGCAAGGTCGTGAAGAGGCAGACTCCTTTTAACATTAAATAAATTGAAAAAAATCTTCCGCCTGTCGACTTAGCAAGGACTGGTTCAAAATATGGTCGATAAGGAGGAAATAAATTAAATAAAACCATTTAATTATTATAAGAAAATGTCAACTTGCAACAGCGAGACTAGGCGGTCCAAAAAGTATTTTATGCGTATTTTAATTTGGAATATTTTCAATTAACGAGATGCGACAATCCCACAGATGTCCATACGCTTTACGGCCATTGGATTTTTTTTTTATCTGAGTTTTATAAATAATTCTATTAGATTTCCAGATCCGATTGACCAAATAACTTCTTTCAATTCATTATTTATGTAAGGTATTGGTTGAGATAAAAAAGTGTCACGAGCGGGATTCGAAACCACAACCTTTGCCAAATCTCGCTAGTTACCAAAGGTACTTTAAATTTTGTTAAACTGAATAAATATAGAAAAATAAGGGGGTGTTAAACTCATTTTTCGTATGAGATTTTTCTGTGCGGTCGACAGGGTGAAGATCCTTTAATTTTATCGTTACTGATCATTTTGCCTTGCTCTTCTTCGCTGGATTGGACAAAGTTATATAAACGGAAGGAGGGTTGAATCTGTACAGAGTATTATTCGGAAATCGTGAGATGCGGTCTGGTGTGATGTAGGTTTCAGAAAAACATTTTCTTTATCGTGCCAACGTTTCGATCTTTATTGAGATCATCTTCAGGGCCTGGGATTACAAACATTGTTTAAATTTAACAAATACATATAGGATGGGGAAAAAAGTGAATTTATGCAACGCAAAAAAAGATTTTTTATAATTAATGAATATTTTCAGTTGACATTAAAAAAAGTTAACGGCACGAGAGGGATCCGAACCCACGACCTTCGGCTAGATACGCCGCTGCTCTACCACCTGAGCTATCGTGACCTCGATCCACTCGGACATCAACTCCCCATCTCAACCCCTCCTTATGAGTTTTCCCTCCTTTTGCCATTTTTCTTTCAACTCAACTAAAAACCTTCATTAATTGTAATGATTTAATTGGTCAAGCGGACCACGAAATTAGTGAATTTAATGAATTAAAATGAAGTACACTTCACTAAAGCTCTCCGTCGCCATTTCAGTTGTCGTCGAGAATCCAAACCGATTACACGACATTTGAAAAATGGCAAAAAGGAGGGAAAACTCATAAGGTGGGGGTTGAGATGGGAAGTTGATGTCCGACGGATCGAGGTCACGATAGCTCAAGTGGTAGAGCAGCGGCGATTCTAGCCGAAGGTCGTGGGTTCGAATCCCTCTCGTGCCGTTAACTTTTTTTCATCTCAACTAAAAACCTTCATTAATTGTAATGATTTAATTGGTCAAGCGGACCACGAAATTAGTGAATTTAATATTTTTTATATTCAACCAAAGCATTTCTACTATTATACTACTAATTCTATTTCTGCGTAATTATGCCATTCTTGCGTGTCGTGTTGACAGTGTCACTGAGATATTGCTGTTTTACGCAGAAAACAAACACTTTGAGTGAGTAGAAATACTTAAAATATAAAAAATATATTTTTTGTATTGTATAAATTCACTTTTTTTCACATCCTACATGTTTTTGTTAAATTTAAACAATGTTTGTAAATCCCAGGTTCGGTAGATTATCTCAATAAAGATCGAAACGTTGGCACGATAAAGAAAATGTTTTTCTGAAACCTACATCACACCAGACCGCATCTCACGATTTCCGAATAATCATCGACTAACGGTCACCCACCACCACACACATCTATACAGATTGTTCGACTGTCGGGATTTTTTAGATTTGATCCTTGTCTGAAGATGGCGAGAAGCTGGAAAGCATCGGTCAGACTAAAACAGCGAGGTTAAACATACCAAAATAATGGAAACAACCATTACAAAACAATATGTAAATATGAGGGTTGAATAGAATTATAGATTGTTTGTTGGCAGATAGTTTGGATTTTGGACAATTGGATCAGTTTCTGAAAATGGCTAGGTACCTTAAAGCATCAGGCATACTAAAACATTGAGGGTATGTAGACGGAAATTATCGAAGACAACCAAACAATGAATTACGTAAATAGTTAGCGGGATTGCATAGAATTGATAGATTGTTTGATAGCCGATAGCTTGGATTTTGGATGGTTTGGAGACTGAAGAAGGCGACAAGCCAAGTCGTGTCATACTAAACCGACGAAGATACGCAGACCAAAACGATTTAATTAAATAATAGGAGGTTTGAATAGATTTATAGATTGTGTTATGGTCAATTAATGGGAATTTGGAATACTGCATCAGTGATTGAAGATGGCGAGAAGTAGAAATGCGTCTGGTAGACAAAAATTGCTCAGGGTCCGAAGATCAAATGTCTTCGCAGACCCCAAGGGGAATCTCACAAATAACATTGTACATTTCTGCTTGGATGATGGTACATGCAACTTGTATGACCATCCTTACCCGCTTTCTTTCTTGTATCCTAATTTTCCATTATTCTGGTATGCCTATCCTCGCCGTTTTATCTGTACACTAGGATTTGGAAAGAAAACACTAAACAAACCAGATCTGTTGGTTGAAGATGGCGAAAAGCCGCAAAATATCTTGCGTACCAAAATAGGGAGAGTAGGTAGACCAAATGATCAAAAACAACCAAACAAGTAACGGTAAACTAAAATATAGACTGATTGATGATGAACAGATGGGATTTTGGATTGTTAGATCAGTGGCTGAAGAACGCGTCTCACAAACCAACACAGCGAGGATATGCAGACCAAAGTGATCATTAACGGCCCAATTAATTTTTTGTGTTACTAGATGCAATTTGTCACTAGTTGTCAAATGAAACAGGCTAAAATATAGTCAAACGCAACTATTTTTTTTTCAACTACTGTCTATTTTGTGGGCCGCCTTGTCTCGCTAGTTATCAATTGACACAGGCTTTACGGATTACTTGTGAAATTTTCACGAAACTGAATAAATACCAAAAGTAGAGCGTGTAGATATGGTTTTTTTTTCTGTAGAGCATTTTAGGATCGTCTCGTTTCGCTAGCTGTCAGTTGAAACACGTTAGAAAATAAAGGTAAATGTTAGAAGGTAACGACTGAACACCGGTTCGTTGGTTCATCCTCCGCGGTCTTAAAAAAAAAGTTGTTATGCGAGCACTATACAGAAATAGTTTGCTGTTCTACTCATGAATGCTTTTTGGTTGGTGCAAAATTAATGCAGGTTTCGAAAATTTGGTTTATTTTCGCAGGTGCTTGTCATATAAATAAGCTGAATCCTATACTATTTATGGATTATAAATAAATACTTTTAACTGTTATTTTTTATTCAAAACATTTTAGTTTATTAATTTCTTGGATTCGTGATGAGAGGTCAAGAATGAGGTAGTTTAGAAAAACACCTGTTTAATTTTGTGACCGCAGTTTCAAACTTTATTCGGGTCATCTTCAGG